CTGTCGCAGGACGGGGTACGTGAATGCGGGAGACTGCGGCGTGTGCGGGCTCTGCGGCGGGCGGAAGCCATGAGCGGGGATTCGACAATGTGATGTATGTACGATATCAATGGCTGGGTTTTGTATACAATGGTGCTACAGTTTGTGTAGCTGCTGTGTCATGGATGGGCGTGTTTTTGGCCGCGTTATGGGATATATCAATGATGATGATTTGTCTTTAGGCACCTGTTGACTTTTTCTGATTTTGAATGTAGTTTTCGGATTCCCTCTTCGCCCTCCTTGCGCAAGAAAAACGCGCGGCCTGCGGATGGGGCAACCTTTTGTACTTTGCGTACACTGTTGGCTGATGAAGCTGACGCGAAGTGGGAAGCGGTTCTCACCCCTGGCAGGTTTGGACGAACCTGCTGCCGCGACAATTCATCACACATATACAGACAAGACCTCTTTCACTACCTACAAGGTATACTGTGTGGCAATGCTGATTAGTTCATGGATCAACTGTCGAATATCCCAATGCTGGCGGTCGGTCCGCTGCCAGCGCTTGCAGGTAGGTTCTCACCTGATCACCTATAATTTAAAAGTATTTATATAGAAGCTATTTACTCAACAATATCTAAATACTTCATCTAGGTTAGGCCAAGCTATATAGAAACGGCGTAAGAATTGATTCCGTGGGTGCTTCCCTGGTGGCGCGAGGGCAATTTCCCAGTAGAGAAGCTACACTACTCTACCGCATTTGGCAACGAGTTAGGACTGCACGCGGTAAAGCTGGTGAAGGGCGCTTGTAGTATCAGATAACAGTTCAGCTGGTGGTCCGTACTCCACTACTTCGCCTGCATTCAAGACGATGACTTTGTCGAAGGAATGGATTGAAGACAGACGATGTGTAACCATGATGACGGTGGCGTCTTCAAATTTGCGGGCAATAACTTCAGCCATCTTTGCTTCAGTGATTGTATCAACACTAGATGACAGGCGTTAGCTTTAATCATGACAAAACGGATAACTATCGCATACCTAGCCGTCGGCTCATCCAGAAGGACCAATTTGCTCTTGCGCAAAGAGGCACGGGCAAGGCATAGTAACTGCTGCTGGCCCTGAGACAGTTGCATCCGCTCCACGTCCATATCCAGAACAGTTTCTGTACATCCCTCACCAGATGATTCCTGCGCCTGTTCCCACAGACCGACTGCCTTCATGCATTCTTCTAGCTCTGCATCGGTGCTATCGCCTCCGAGGCATAAGTTCTGGCGCAATGACCCAGTGAATAAGAATGGATCCTGCGTAATGTAGGTTACCCTGCTGCGAACGATTTCTCGGTCAATTTGAGCAAGATCTTGGCCATCGAGCTTGATGCTCCCTGAACGAATATCCATCATGCCTAGGACAGATGAGATAAAAGAACTCTTGCCACTACCAGTTCGACCACAAACAGCAATTCTTTCACCAGATGCAATCTCAATCGATACATTGCGAAGCGCGACAAAGTCAACATGCGCGGCCGTAACACCATCGAATTGGACGTGACCAGATTTTGGCCAGTCGTGGGCAACAGGCGCGTCTGGGCTTTCTTCAACGGGGGTGTCCTCGGAGAATGACTTGACTCGAGAGACTGCGCCAAGCGATGTTTCCAACGACGTCCAAAAAATAATAAGAGAAGCAAGACTTTGACTCAGACTCATCATGTTAACGAGGGCTATGCCAGTAAAACCGGCACTGACAGTCGATCCTCGTACCGTGACTGCAAGAGCAGTGAGGATGGTTACCATGCACGTCACTGTGAGTCCGAGAACAACAGATAGCCATCGTTGGATGCATAGCAATAGGTAGAATGGTTTCTGGCATTCGTCCATAAGTTGAAAGTATTGGGCTTTGTATGGCGCGAACCATCCAAACGCTCGAATGGAAACAATGCCATTGATGGTGTCAATGATGTGCGAATATAGGGGCGCTTTGCTTTCCAGCCTGTATTCTTGTCAGCCTAATATAAAGATCTCTGCGTTAGTGTGCCTTACTCAAGAAGTCGAAGCTGCTTGGAGGTCCGAAGATAGAATCGGTGCACTGTGCCCAATGCTAGCAAGAGGAACGGGAGAACCGCCGCAAAATACGGCGTTGCCGCAATGGTGAGCGCTGAAACCGATATGCAACTTGCTGCGTGGAATGCGGTTGTGATCAACGCACCAGGTAGAATCATGTCAATGAGCTGCATATCTTGACTGAATCGGTTCACCAACGTTCCAATGTCTGTTTTTGAATGGAAAGACATGGGCGCTTTGAGCGCAGCATTCAAAACAGACAGATGGAGCCGCTTTCCTGACTTGGGCACAATGCCCACGTAGAGGTAGTAGACAGCAGCAATGAGGGAGGCAGCGCGAATGACAGCCCACAATGCGTACAGACTAAGCCAGTACTTTGCATTCGTCCTATCATTGCTGGATGACCAAAGTTTGACCCACACAAGTTGTAGCGCAGAGAAGCCAGCCTCAGTGAGAACGAAAGCTAAAAAGATGCAGAGACTTGACCACCCCAGGGACGCAAAGTAGTACTTGTAAACCTCAAGATCGCCGATACTCCTACCCGCCTTGGCTAGATTATCGGCTTCTTGTCTGAAGTCTTTCTCGGCAACGATTGCATTGGCAGTTGCATCCAAATGAGGGGCAGCTTCAACAAGTTCATCATCCTGGATTGCAACTTGTACGCTAGGGTCGGTGCGAGAGCGATCCACTACATGCGTTGTGTGTTGTCCGTCTGATGTCAAGGCTACTACGATGTCTGCCGCGTGCAAGTGCCGCATCGAGTGGGTGGCAAACACGACAGTGGTCTTCATCCGTCGGAGTAGACCATCACGACCAAACACCTTGTCGGCAATAATGTCTTGGGTGGAAGAGTCGAGCGCACTCAGAACATCATCGAAAATGGCGATTGGCTTCCTGGCGTACAGCGCACGAGCGATTGCTAAGCGCTGGCGCTGCCCGCCGCTTAGCGATACCCCCTGCACTCCCGCTTCTGATTGATCGCCGTCTTGCAGTGTCGCAATATCGTAGTCTAGAGCACACGCCCCGACTACCTCGTCGTACCATTCCTGGGAGAAACAATCATTGCCGATAATTTGATCCCGTATAGTCCCGGAAGGCAGCCATGGTGTCTGTTGGCAGAAGGCCAAGTCGTTTGTGGCGAGTTGAACCGTGCCGCTGAAGATTTGAGCTTCTCCTAACAACGCGCTGATAATTGTTGATTTCCCCGAAGCAACAGGTCCAACTAAAGCAATGAATCTTGAATCCGTTGATGATGAGAAAGACACATTATGCACCACAGGACTTTCCCATCCGATGGTAGCGTTCTGCACACTGATCACAGGCGCAGTCTCGGCGTCAGGAACCGGCTGCGTCTCCAGAAGAGCAATATCTGAAGCCGAGTTTTCCGTGGTCACGCTTGTCTGGCCAATAACACGATCATCTTGCGTCTCCTTTTCGTTCAAGAAGGCTTGGATTCGCTCAAAACAGCCGATGGCTGCAAATGCTTGCGGTACGGTGTAAAGCAGTTGGCCCAGCGGTTGCATGATGATGGCCAGAAGTGCCAGCGACGTAATTGCCTTGGTGGTGTTAAAGTCGTCATGGCCTTGCACCCGAGATACTATGGCATACGCAGCGAATGTGATCAGCTGGCTAATAATGTTGGGCACATTGACAAGGCAGATGTTGAAGCTTGACAGTCGTCGAAACTTCTTGGAGAGTTCCAGTTCCTCAGCTCTCTGTGACTGGATCATGTTATGAATTGAAGTTGTGTACCCGAGCAATTTGATGCTCTTGATATTTCCCAGGGCATGAGATGTGAAGTTCACACGTCGTTGGACTGCCTTCAGCCAGATACCTTGGCGACTGCCAACCAGAGAGCTAGCCTTTGCGCAAATGAGTGTTGACGCAAATGCCAGGATGACGGGTGCGATGCAAACGGCGCCGAGCTGTCGCTCTAAAAGCCAGACGCCGACTCCTAGCTGCAGGACAGCAGGCCATAGTTCTGCAATAAGGAAGCTCCAGGTTTCACATATTCTCTCTACATCGGTTCCAATCAGCGTCATGATAGGTGAACCGCTATCTGTGGCTGCCTTGGTGGAGATGTTGTTCAGTTTGTCGAAGATGTTGGTGATCAGACCACCACGAATAAGCGCGATATACCGGAATGTTAGCTGTTCGTAAATGCCCGTCGTAACCTATAAGCTATTAGCAAACTGGGCTACAAAGCGTAGGCAAGGATACATGCCGCTGAGGTGAAGTAGGTTAGCGCGACGGCGCCAATGAGCCCGTAGCCGCTATTGCGAATTGGCTGCGTGTCGGGAGCCAAGACATTGTCAACAACTGCTTGAACTAAAAACGGCTGGACAAGGCTGCAGGCAAGAACAACCAATCTAGGGAAGATGATTTTGGCAGCTTCCAAAGGCCACGCCTTGAAGGTTGCAAAGACGAGGCCGTATTTGTGTGACATGTCAGCTGATGCTCGTGTTAGCAAAATTAGGCGTGACGCTTGGGATGGAATATAGACCAACTATTTTCAAGAGCCTTTTTTAGCTGAGGGAAAGTTGCAGAAGAGTTGATTCTTTGGTGGATGGACAAGAGCGTGTGCATATTGAGAACCTGACGCGAGCCGGTGATCATGAGCCTAGTGAGCCAGAAAAATAATCCTCTGGAGAAAAGACCCGCAGTCTCCTCGGCAGAGATGTTGGCATACTTTTCAAGCAGCAACGGACGCTTGCCGATATTTTCCAGCCATAGCAAAATGAGCTTGATGGCAAGCGAAGACGAAAGGATGGCAGCAACGTTGGTGTAAGTTCCCATCAGCCACAGGGTTCTGACTCTAGGTATATCGGCGAGAACCGAGATGAAGAGATATGCGGATATTATTAGAGAAGGGCGTGGGCTAGCTCGGTGAGCGATGGTGGAATTGACAGCGAAAACAGCGGCAACGACAAGCGCGAGGATGGCTGAGACGAGCGGCATGGTGGTGGAGGGAAAAGGTTCCAAGGCCCATAGCGCGACGAGGGATACCTGCAATGCAGCAAATATGAAGATGAAGATGAGCTTGGCGAAGCGTAGAGGCGATTTCATGACCAAGCAGCGGGGCTTTCCGAGCATAAATGCGCTCTCGAGCAAACCGCCCATCAAGTAGAGAGCGGCGGGAAGCATGCATAGTATGACTTCCTCGAAAAATACTAGTGGCCAATGGTTATTTCGGATTTCGGCGGTCAACAGGTCCAAGACGATGAAGAAAGAATACCTGTAAAGTCGAAGCCTCCACGGCAGTTGGCCGAGATGACGGGCGGGGAGAAGCTCCCGTCATTGCAGACGGCGGTGCTGGATGCCATTTTGCACGTTTCGGAGGCGAATTATCAACAATTTACTGTAGCAAGCGCTGAAACGAGCGAGCACGGTGACGAGAGCTGGTAGGCTGTCGGTCGCACGTGCAAAGCTGCTGATCAATTTATCAACTTTGGGGACAAGGACGGAGTGTGTTGGCTCTCACTTTGGGACGAAGCTAAATTCCGGGGAACAAGAATTAGTTTGTAGGCATCTGGAATCAGGAGAAACTCACCAGGTAACGTTACCCCGTGACTCGTGAACAAGTGGCCGAATAAGTGGGGGATGGACCGGGCGCTAGTGTCCGCCATGGGGAGAAAACTCTAGTTATTCCCCTCCATTTCCCCAGCCAAGCCAGCCATCTTTTTAGCATCACTTTTATGGAGGTTTTTAATGACCATAATGTACTAAAAAAAAATAGATCGCACTATATTCGCACTGCTAATTAAATTCCATAGGGCTTAGCTTCAGACGGCCAGGGGGAGGTGTTAAATGTGTCAATGGCTTGTCAGCATGTTATGCCGCAGAGCAAACATTGCCCTGCGCCACATTGGTAATTGTTTTCTCGTTCCTCTTATTGGACCGCCTGCATGCATACATATCTAGGAGGGGCTATCAAGTCTTCATGCACCAGTGACGGCGGCAGCGCATACTCGGCCTACTTGATATCGCATGCCGGGGTACCGGGCAGCCAAGGCACAGGCAGCCAAGGCACGGTATGTGTCCTCGGTTGCGAATTCGGGATGCCAGATGCAGGGAAAGCCGGCAAGGCTCGTTCAACCCTATAAGACAATTTTCTTTAAGCTAGCCACCATTTTGATTAGGCCGCCGTCTATCCCCGGTCCAAGTTCCAAGTGGTTGCTCCGCTGCAGACGACGACGCCGCTGTAATTACTGGTCCTCTGCAGGAAACCATCACGACAAGGGCTGCTAATGACGGGAACGGCAGCCAGTGGTTGGTTGGCTGGTGGTTCAGTTCAGCGTCAACAGGTGAAACCAGGCTCGCTGTTTGGGTTCAGGCTGTGCCCCCTGCTGCAAAGTACTTGTGATACAGCGATCTCCACGCTGCGAATACGTAATGGATGGACATGTGTCTTGGTTTGATCCTTGGTTGCCAGCCAGTAGGATCACTGATTGCGTCATCCTTCCAGGCGGGAGATACGGACAATGCTGTGATCCTGAGTGACTCACTCAAAAATCTGATATTCGGTCTATCTAATAGCATAATTTTCGCATACGCCCTACGCCAAAACAACGCCCCTCGTCACCAAAGTACCGTTTCGACCAGGGTAAGAAACGGGTAAAACAGGGGGTAGAGAGCCAATTAGAGCGCTATTATCAGGCCTTCTTTCTTTGAAAAAGTTAAGTCAATTGGGCTGCAGAAATCTTTGAGCTAACTCACAGATTTCTCAATCCCACAATACTTCCATCAGGGCCTATAGTAGACGCTAGCGTCAAGGTACCAACGTCAACTCACTCGGGATCAGAGCACAAACGAAGTGAATGTATTTCATGAATGGGGAGATAAGGTATGCTTATTGTTACCCTCTTGTCACACTGCAGCTCCCACTGATCCTCCAAAATCGCACTACACTGCAGAGTAACTTGTCTGTTTCATCCTTTATTTCTCTGCCTCTTTCTCATTCTCGTAGTCCTTAACACCGTAGGTGTAAATGGTTCGCTTGTCCTTGTCGTTCTCATAGTCCTTGACACCGTAAGTGTAGATGGTTCGCTTGTCCTTGTCGGTCTCATAGTCCTTGACACCGTAGGTGTAGATGGTTCGCTTGTCCTTGTCGTTTTCATAGTCCTTGACACCATAAGTGTAGATGGTTCGCTTGTCCTTGTCGTTCTCATAGTCCTTCACACCGTAAGTGTAAATGGTTCGGGCTGCAACTGTGGCGTCAGCTTGGCTGTCCTCAAAGTTGGCATACGCCCGCTGCTAATCACTCACCTTCCTTGGAGGTCGGGGCTGCAAGTGCAAGCACGGAGCTTGCGATCATGAGGCAGATGGAGGACTTCATTGTGGCTGGTGGCTCTTTGGCTTGAGGAGAAGCGTGATTCAGGTTTATGAGACAAGGGGTTGTTATAGCTTATCAATGCTCAATGAGATGAACTAGTTAGAAACTAGAACCTCCTGGAGAGCTGTGATAGTTGGCAGCTCTTTATATTAATTTTCTTGCCCAAGACTTTCGATCGTCTCGACTGGCGCAGCCTTGCAGACCTCCGTCTCTATACCGCCGCAAAGCGTCGCCAGCAGTTCAGCTGTCTGACTATCACATCCGGCCTTCTCTTCGGGTTGCAGGCTTACCTGAACTGTCTCGTCACAGCCAGCCTTCTCCGCGGGTTGCAGGTTTGCCTGAACTGTCTATCACAGCCAGCCTCCTCTCTGCGTGTTGCAGACTTGCAGCAGGAAGATGCACTTGTCCAGCTGATCAACGACTGCCGGCAATTCTCTTTTAGCTGCATCGTAGTTCCTTTCCTCTTTTGTCAGTGACCGAGAGAATGTGGCGGTGACGTGTCCCTTTTGCGTCAGAATAGCTCCTATGCCGAAAAGGCTTGCGTCGGTCGTAATGGTGCATGGTGCGGAGCTATCGTGCTCATTCGTAAGAACCATGTGACGAACCAATGATTTCTCCATTCGCTCCATATCTAGGCAAGTTCCACTTGCTTGTACACAAAAAATAACGACAAGGCCCTTTTTCCTTTCACAAATCCTGTCTCCCTATCGTCCTTTCTCTACCTACTCCAGCTGCTACAGCCGACCTTGAATACAATGAACAACACCAAATACTCCAAGGTGGAGCAGGAGTCGAGCGACTCATTGAAGCTAGGAAGCCAAGATGAGGCCTTCTCTGACAGTGAGAGCGGTCGGCCCTTGAGCCAGCAGCCGCGAAGTGTCGCGACTAGACTCTCCCAGGTAGCGAAGCGCACCTGGTGGCTTGTTGGTCCTTTCCTCTGGCTTCTCTCCCTCCTCTTCACCTGGATGATCGCATCGGCTGCCTCAAAGTCGCCCTACGATGTGTCGGTTGGGCTAGACACAGAACTAGGTGAGCCACATAGGTTCTTGCGGCAGCATACCTGAGATATCAGCGGCATCTGCTAACCTCGACGCAGAACCTATCAAGCCACACATCGAAATGTACACAACAACCTTCTCCAGTGATTTGGACTGGGACGAGAACGGGAAACTCCAGCGAGTCTCTCGGCCCGGGTCGAAACAGTTCGTGGGTGATCCAAGTCCTGAAATCGACGCAAATTGGGAGCACATCACAAACGGTGTTGTCGTGGACCTCAAAGGTAAAGCCGCAGAGACGGTCATAGGCAAGACGTACCAAAAGCCAGATGGGTCGTGGTACGTGGGCATTGAGGCTTTCCATCAATTACATTGTCTCGTGAGTGGTCCCCAATCCTGATTAAGCAGAGCATCACGACAAAAGTCCTTACTCTACTATAGAACATGGTCCGCAAAGCGCTGCATGTCGATTACTACGGCATCAATGAGGAGGATCCGCATCCCCACAAGATGCACATCGAACACTGCATCGACGCGCTACGTGAGGCACTCATGTGCAGAGCGGAACTGGCCTTCATCCCTATGGAGTTCAACGCTAGGTATCGCTCGGGGAGGCCCGCCTTTGTCGCCAGGAAACACACGTGTAGGAATTACGAAAAGATCCTGGACTGGGCTCACCAATACCCGAGCAATGAAACGCTCTTTGTTCTATCCGATGGAACTGCAGGCGACGGGAACATACATTTTGATGGAGACATTGGCCATGGATTTAGGGGCGGTAGTAAAACCACCCATGCTGATTGAGGCTCAAGTAACTATGGATATTGTTTTAGCATTCTGCTGTACTACATGGGTCCTCCCTCAAGAAGTTTCCATAGATAACCCATGATTTGGAATAGATAGTAAGTGCGAATAATTTGTACCATCTTCCATATCCTCTCCTCGGCTGCCCTAGGTTGACTATACCTGACTTACGTCCTAGCTGGCCGGATGTGTGTCGGCAAGTACTCGGGGCGTGAGGCTTTAGTGATCAAGGGGGAGATGTCCTAACTAGGTAGTATCCAATGCCTATCCGTTGGCCGTTGTGCATAGCCTGGCGATCGACACAGTCCATTGGCGTGTCGGATCTTTGGACCGAATCATGCATGTCACTCTGCAGCTCGGGCTATAGCTTGATGCGGTAAGATTTTGCGAGAAGGAACAGTGGTGGTGTCTCCAGCTGTCAAAATGTATGTGTGTCTCACAGCGCCATCATAGCCTGATCCCGTCAAAGGCTCCAGCCTGACGCTCGTTCAAGACTCCAGCCTGATGCCCGTCAAATGCATGAACCCCGACCTGCAGCTCGAAGACACGGAAGGACGTCATAATAAAGCTAGGGTGGTCACACGACTGGCATCGCGTTTTGTTTTGTGGATCGAGCGTACGAATGGTTACAGCGATCACTGCGCAGATTTTGGTTTCAGAGCTCAGCTTGCCGTGAGAAGTGAAGGTGGAGCGTTTGACGGGCATCAGGCTCGTTTGTAACGCTTCATCCACCCACTGCCTTCTTCTTATCGTTGTCCCTCGACGGATCATTCCTTAAAACGGCAGTTGCTGGCGGGCGGCACGAGATAGTAAACGAGGTACCTATGTACAGACCCGGTATGTAGGATACATGTTCCCCCTATCAGTCCACTTTATCCGACTGTGCAGGAACTGGCGACTTACAAAGCGCATTTCCAAGAGTGAGCGAACGAATGACGACCTTTACTCCAGACTACTACGCTCAATTTGAGGATTATTCTTGATCGAAATTTCCCCAGACGAAAAAAAAAAGAAACCGCCCAAATCATGTCTACTTCCGAAGACGAAGCCTCGTCCCGAGAACCGTTTCTCAAGAATGAAGTCGACACAGAGCTCGACTCATTGACTTACTATTCCCCTCCCCAGGCGAAACATAGGGTTGCGGCGAGAGTAAGGACCTGGCCATTGATCCTTTCTACTGTCTTCTTTGCCGTCACTACTGCACTACTGCTCTTCCGGTCGCACACGGGGACGGGAAGTCATTCCCATACACCGTTGTGCGTTGACAATCCTCGAGGGATACCTCTCGGACCTGGTATATATAGCATCTTTGTTCGTCACTTGTGTACTAGAACATGGCTAATAAGTGGAAAGAGGAAAACTATCGAGGGATAGATATGACATTCACCGGCGCACTCACCTGGAACTCGAGCGGTGATTTGATCAACGAATACGTGCCAGGCCAGAGGCGCTGGGTCGGCGAGCCGACCCCATACCTCGACGAAGCTTGGGATGGTCTGGAAGAATGTAAGCGATACAATTTTATTCTCTACTTCTCTCCCTCTCTGTCTCTCTCTCTCTCTCTCGGCCACACATGTCTACAATAATCGCATCACTCACATTCAAACCACAGTCTGGACCGTGCTGCTCGAAGGCGACGAAGCCGACAATGTCCGCGACCAGACCCTCTTGCAAAACGGATATTGGGTTACCGGACTCGATGTGTTCCACCAACTGCACTGTCTCGTACATTAAGCTGCCACCCTTCAAGCCGTTCATTCAGCTCACGCATCTAACTTTTTCCCTCGTAGGACTCCCTCCGCAGGGCCACCTACCCAGAAGCCTACGAGCACGAGGGGTCGCCGCACCACTGGCACCTCCACATAAACCACTGCATCGATTATCTGCGTCAGGCCATCATGTGCCACGGCGACACGAGCCCGATGCAATTCAAATGGCATCCCAACGCCCAGCGCTACGGGCCCGACTTTGCCTCGACGCGCTTCTGCCGCAGGAAGTTTGATGATATCGTCGAATGGTCGCGTGCCAGGACTCCGCAAGCAAGGAGAGGCACCATGGGAAATGAGACTGCTAGGAACGGGATCAATATCTATAACGAGACGGTCGCGGGAGTTGATCCTCATTGGCTTGAAACCAAACCAGATAGTAAGAAGTCGACTTAGAGCCTCTAGCATGGGCTGAGATTCCTGGAATTTTGCTTGCCCTCTTTTTGTATCTAGTGAACACGCGTGAGGCGAGAATGACTGAAAATCAACTAAATACACGAGATAGTGTGATAGCAGATAGCAGTTAGTAGGTGCGGCTCAATAATTTGGTAATAACGCCTTGGCGATGCTCATGCCCCAACCCAACACGTGGTCAACCCAACACGTGGTGGACGTTCTGGACCGTTGACATGATAATCCGGCTCCCACCTAAGCGCCGACCACAAGGGATTTCTTGCTTATCGGCGGTTGGATGTCTCACAGGGTGCGATAATGTGGACGGGGGGAACAGACTGTCCAGTTGACGTCTTTGTGTTGACTTTGTTCGTAAATGCAGCAGCCATGAAGTTAATATAACGAATTTATTACAAGAATAAACCCTTTGAATGCGATTGTCAGATTAATGCTTTTCATTACAAAGGTTTATTATTATTACGCGTTGTTCTCCTACTAGAAACCCAGAAGTGATTGGATAGAACGATTGTGTATAAAAACTTGGCCGAAAATATGTTTTGTTGGAATATAATAGAAGCGAATTTGGGCCCACAGCTGCGGCCTCATTCGCTGCTATAGGGCATGTACTCGTTTGTACTCTATTTTCAGTTGTGTGGTGTCGTACTTTGCAGTTTCTGCCAATGCCTTCAATCTATGTCGAGATCGTTATCGGGTTGCTCGAAGGGGGGCAGGGGTTGGTGAATAGCTGTGCTGGGAAGCGTTCCAGACGGGCACGAGTGCTCCTCGACGCGCTGTTCGATAAGGGATGGGGTATCCCTAAGATCATGTTGTCGGATCGGGACCCCAAGTTCATGGCTGTGCTCTGGCAGTACGTGTGGAAACGCATGAAGATATATTAGGCAATGTTAAGGCAAGAAAGTGTCGCTTGGTGCTAGTGCCCTGAATAGTTCATGTGCACACGTGACATACTGGGGTGTGTTACCCCACCAACCTCAGTTTAGTCACCAGCATCCACAGTATTGTGTTGTCAACACCCGCGGACCAAGCTCTTCTTTTCAAACTATTTCGGACTGACTAGCAAAAACATGTCGGCAGCTGTGACGGCGTCGATGCGCGCTGTTGGATGGAATGTACGCTTCACCATCGGGCCCGACAGTTATCCTCTCGCCTTTGCTGGCGTCTACCAGAACCCGCGCAAGCCTACAATCAAGTTTGCCGACGTGTGCGCCGAGCTAGCTTTGTGCTTCGAGTTCAAGACTCTAGACGGGGAGCGTGGTATTCATGAGAATAATGCTGGCGACAAGGGCGACAAGGGGAACACTGGTGGTCCGAATTCGTGGGAGAAGATCGCGTTTGCCCTGACTGAAAAGCCAGACGCGACCAACGAAGCGGATCAAGTCGCGTATCCCTCTTGGATAACAGAAGAAACCCTAGACGAACTAGTGCCTGGTGTACTATCCATTGACTCCCAGCAACAACGAATCGTCAAGTACCACATTGTTCGACACGATCACTGCCGCTTACCCGCTGATTCTTCATTAAAAGACCACCTTCAAGGTTTGTGACATTGATAATTTATGACTATATATAGCGAGGCCAGCAATCTAACACTCTCACTTCACAGCGAAATGCGCCCAACATCTGGCAGACCCCGACCGCCGCCGCCACCCTGCCTATCTGCCACACAACAAGATGCCATCTGACCCGAGACTCAACATTATGCCGCTGCGACGTAAAGCAAAGGCCCGCTCGCAATCGCCGCCGAAACGAACCGCCTCTGGGGCCACCTCTCCCGGGAAACCCACCGACGATGCCGACGGTGAAGACAACAACATGATCGCCCCGGCAAATACGGACATTGATTTAGACGAGGCCAGGCGGGTGGAGAATGAGTTTAGAATGGCCTGTATAAATTGGTCTTCCTGCTGCGCCATCTCTGGCGACGGACGGCCGTGGTGTTTCGGTCAGCCTATCGGTCCCGGCATTCAAGCTTGCCATATTGTGCCGCAGCAACACTATCATCTATACCCAGTCAAAAACAGCACGACGTTGGCTTCTGAGGGTGACAGAGCAATCGAAGACAGTCCTCGTGGCCTACGTGAGGCATGGGAACATACGTGGAGCCCCGCCAATGGCATCCTGTTGATGAAGCACATTCACGACTTTTTCGATAGTCGCCTCGTTTCCATTCACCCACTTACATTGCTAGTACGCGTTTTTGTCCCATATCAAGCCCTAGAACCCTTCCATGGTCGCAAGGCGCAGGTGTCCCCAGCAGTGGACCGCAATGCACTGCGGCACCACTATGACATGTGCTGCATCGAGAACATGGCTGCAAGCCGGCGGAATCTGCTAACATCACTCGTCACCAGCGGGAAGAGCACTTCTACGACCAGCTTCATCAATACCTCTGGCGGCGGCACGCCTTTTAGTGGAGGAACCGGCCTCCCCATGACGCCCAGCTTGGGGCGCACGCCAACCCAGACAGCTATGCGTCCAGCGGGCGACCCGTCTAAGAGACAGCGAACGATCCGTGACGGCAGTGACAAAGGACAGTCTACAAACGAAGTTGAAATTTGGCAAGAGGATGTTGACTCTCCCCAGCGGAAACGACGGCGGATGGAAGATGCGTACAGATTCGACAGCTATATTATGCCGCATAACCACCGCCAGTTTCTGGCGGACGTTAACTGGGAGCTGTGGAAACTGAAGGCGGGGTCTTGAGGTGTTGGTAGCCGGTACAAATACTGCATATATACGAAGCACTGGTTTCAGCGCAAAGTAACTGTCGAGTTTATTTCTAACTGTCGTGGGAATTGGAAATTGCATCACATTTGCTTGTCCCTTTTTTCAGCTCATTTATACACCCGCAAAGTAGGAGGCTAGCTTTGGCGAATGAGATTGCTGTCAGTCGCAGTTGGGTTATCTGGCGCGGAGCGTGAATACCTAGGTAGGTATGCAAGCCTTGTTTGCACAGCGGCCAAGGCGGCAGATGGGAACCGACTCCACGGACAGGGGAACTGTCGTACGACCAGTATTGCTTTGGATCTGGCCGTCTCATATGTGTGCCGAGCCACGTTGTCTTATCGTCGCGGGGCTAATTTCGCACTACCTTGATCCAGCTCCCCCCATACCTAGTTTTGTGAGCCGCAGAGCATATATGTTGAGTAACGCTTGTAAGCCGCAGACATGTTGAGTAATGCTTGTGAGCCGTGGCGTGCATGTTGAGTAATGGCATTTCCGACAAAAAGCTAAAGAGCCATGATGGGGAGCGGGGGTCTCGGTCTGTGCAGATTCCGGGGAAAGGCTGTTCATGTTTAATAATTAGTTCCGGCGACTAGTTAACGTTAACTAGTTACTGGTTCTCTTCATGAACCATGTTACCCCGCAAAAGGCACGAGCCCAAGTCGCCTAGCGCCGGCGACGAACAGGTAGAGGGCCAGTTGGCGGGCTCTGAAGGATTTAGGCCGCGAGAAATTGTGGCTTGGTTGATAACGCATCAACTTGTGAAATGCCCATGATTTGGTTGGATGGTCGGGTTTGCATTGCAAGTGCCGGGTTGATTGGGCCAGGTGGTGAGGGGCATGCAGTTCTAGATGCATCTTGCGTCGTGGTGTGTAGCACGGAGCAGGGAGTATTCTCAGAGGGGTTGCAAAGGTTGCAAGGGTCAGTTGCTGGAACCGAGTTGTTGATACTGTTATCTTCTGGAGATGGTTCGAGCATGATTGAGCGTGGCTATGTACGCAATCACAACCTGAGCTGTTGAACACGTCTAGCCATACCACGGCTGGTCGTTACTTGGCTCCGACGGTCGGTCAGTCAGAGCACAACAACCAAAGATGGCGTGAGCCGCGTAGATAACCCGAAATGCGTGGCAGGCGAGCATGACGTAAAGTGGTGCTGGCGGAGAGGACGATGGGCTGACGACGGCAAGGTCAAATCTGGGAGGGGACGAGAGCGGGTCGGGGACTATGAGATCTGAGCGGAGCGGTTGGGTGATGTGGCCGCGCGGAGGTGCACCGTTATTGCAGACAGATGTGATGAAGTCGAGAGGCGGCCAATATTGACGCGGTAATACGGATCGCAATAATGCTGAGGGGGGATGTCAAAGTGTTTGCAGGTTTGCAGAGCCAAGTCGATACAACAAGCTGGCACCTGGCAGGAGAGTGGACGTACCCAAGTACCCAAGTACCTACCTAAGTACCACCGTCGTCAGCAAGCGTCATGGAGCACCAGTGCTGGTACATATGCAAGCCTCCTTTTCACGCGGGTTGGTCCGGATCTAGATACTTGGATTCAATTCATCACATATTTGTTTCCCTTGTTCATTTAAGTTGCCTCTTGCTGCTGTGAACAGGCAGCAGGTATCCTTTTAACGTAACCTTGCCGTACCGTGAGCGGGCCCCACCGATCGCGGCGGCCCCTCTTGGGCCCTCGAGTCCACTGTATTATGCAGGGCCACCTTGAATCCCGATGTACCCTGTCCGCAAATTAACTAGCCCTGGTACTTGGTCTCCCCGCATCAGCAGGGTTCTACGTCACTGATTGGCGTCTGAACAAGCTTTTTTGGTGATCGACAGTCGCAGGACAAGACGTCGGTCGCGGGCAGCCGGATACAGAACAGCACAAGGCCCGTCGTATTCATTCACACATGAATCATCCCAACGTCTCGTTTGTTTGCTCGCTGACGTCGCTGCGGCGGCCGTTCGCCGTCGTTGACGGCACCGCACGAATGTGGTTGACGTTGGGGCCACCAGACGCCAGAATGGGCACACCACGACGCAAGTGCGACGCAAGAACAAGAGGACGGTAACAGAGGCGCACTTTGGAATTTTGCGGTGGCTTGCTGCGAGACTGAGGTCTGTTGCCACCCACCAGTGCCCGCGGTGCCACGACGCATGGTTTTTTGGGTCGGTAGCCTCGTACGTTGCTTGTCGGGGCGCCACATGTTTTTTGGGGGGAGCTACAGGTCGCTTCTGTCCGCTTCTGTCGCCAGCATGTCGGGTTGGCTCCGAGGCCACCGCCACCAAGGTGGGCTGTTCCCCTGTCGCGGATAGGAAACTGTGAATACCGTGAGACCTTTGGGTGGATTTTGGGCGACCCGGGGTCCTTGTTGATAGCACGCCACAGAACTGAAGAGCGAAACAGATTTCTTTCGCCGTTGAACAAGGGAAATGTTGGCAAGATAAGGTGTACTACCCCTAACTACTTGGGTGCCACTTGTTACGTGGCTATGAATGCTGCCTGGACGTTTTTGGGGTGTCGTGTCTCGAGTGCCTGTTCTATGGGGACGCTTTGTCTCTAGGTACTATGCTGCAGTCACCAAAGCATGCAGTTTTGTGACTCGTCTCTCTGGTCCGCCGTCAGCCTTCGCGTCCCTCGATGACGGAGTGGTGAATTAGCTATATCACCAAATCACGTACCAGTACGGAGTTCTGCGGCCGTCTGTGCCTTGACGGGGGCATCCTTGGCCCTTGGCTGCAGAACAGTGGCACAAATCGAGATGGGGCTCCACTGCACCAACCAACCAGTTTACCCCAGAAACAGGCGGTACTTGTCTCTTGTGCGCAATTGGCACCACGTGAGCAAGTATCCCGATGTCGGACCAGTGTGGCTGCTACCCCAAACAGGTTAGCGGGCTTGCTCTAGCTCGCCACCAGCGACCACTGTAAATAGCGCCGAGCGCTGCTGTAACACTCCTCTACCTCTTACCAAGTACGCTAAACATGTGCTAACAAGCCACTAAAACCAACCTGGTACGACGATGGCCATCACCCATCACACCCATCACCACCTTCTCCTCTTCATGACCGCTGCTGCCACCCTCTTTCTTCCTTTTTTCTCCTCCCATTTCTCCTCTCCAACCTTTCTCCCACACCCTCTCTCATTTCCTCTTCTTTGTCCTAGCTATCGCCTTTTCCATCAATCTCTCGCCTAACCTACCATTTACGTCAGCCCCATTTACTCACTCTCTGCATTGACCAGTCAGGCCCCCTCATCTTTCCACTACTGCTGGCACCCGCCGTCGTCAATCGTCTTATATAACACCACGCCACTACCTGCTCATTCTCCCCCTCTCACACTTTTCTCGTACGACCACTTCTTTCACCTTTTATTACTGTTCTCAGCATCGCCCATTTCTCTCGACCTCTCGTGAACTCGATCACAGAGTCAACCTTTTCGTTTGCCGTCGACGACACCGCAAACGTCGCCTCGCTTGTGCTTCTCCAGCCGAGCCCACTCAACGTCCGTACGCCCGCCGGCTGTCACAAGCCCCCTCGGCATCCAGCCACCAACCAGACATCACCACCTCACCACATTCTCTCATCTCGCGACCTCAGGCCACCGCCGCTCTCGCCATGTCCGACAACGCCCCTCCCAATGCCGGCATCGCCCACCGCCGCAGCTCCATCACCCAGGCTGCCCTCTCCAACCTCTTCCAGCGCGGCCCCTCCAACGCCAACGTTCCCCCGCTCCCTGGTGCCCCCAGCATGACCGACCCGCGCGGTCGCCGTCTCTCGGTCAGCACCATTGGCCTCTCTGGCAGCTCTCCCACGAACCCCGCCGCCTTTAATCGTCGCGAGAGCATTTCGACCAACTCCAACTCGGGCTCCATTGACGAATCCGCCGTCGAGGACGACGATTTTGTCCCAGGCAGCGCTAGAACCACCCCAAACACGCCCTTTACTCGACGCATGAGCTTCGGTGCCTCGGCCGGCTCCGGCTCCTTGAGGGGCTATCGCCCCTCGGGCAGTCCTGGCAACGGTAATACCAACCCAACAACTCCTCCCACGGCCGGCCAGCAGGGCCTGGCCCAACCCCAGTCGCCCCTTCTCGGCCGTCGTCCCTCGACCAACAAGTCCCCTCCCATGGCGGCCTCGGCGGGTTGGTCCGTCTCCGGACGCCGCCCAAGCACCGTCCTGTCGTCTTCCCTCCCACAGGCAAGCTTCACCATGCACAAAAGAGCCCCTTCTGACTATGCCAATTCTCGAGCAGACCAGCAAGGCTTCAACTGGTCCGAACAGTTGAGGTCTCGCGCAGAGAGCTCCGTCTCCGCCGCTCGTCCTTCTTTCTCGCTCGCACAACCCCAATCCACCAGGATGGTCCATGACCGCGCCAGGTCCGTCTCCGAGATGGCCGCTCCTCCGAACCAGGCCCCTGCTCCCATGCCGCCTCGGCAGGAGAAGCCCAAGCCCGACGCATTCCAAGAGCGAATTCTCAAGGGTGATTTCTACATGGATTGATACCTAATCACTTGAGAGGATGACTTGAGATGACCACTCGAGATCAATTGCATGACTATCACTTGAGATGACTACTCGACATCAATTGCATGAGATCATCACTTGGGACCATCACTTTTGATCACTTGCATGAGATCATCACTTGGTACCATCACTCTTGATCACTTGCATGAGATCATCACTTGGTACCATCACTCTTGATCACCCACATGATTGACCAAGTCAGGCTCAATCCAATTCTTGATTCTTGTTGTTTTATGGCGATGGATTTTGACTCGAGACACTTGAGTACCTCATTTGCACTGGCACTGTATTGGCGGATATCAACGGCGCGGCACAAAATGTTCAAAACATGGCTGTTTGTTTTTTTATTGTTGGCCTCTTGGCAGCGACTCTTTTATTCTCTTTGTTGAGCGATGGCATCATGCCGTCTCAGGGCAGACGGCTTTTACGAGCATAACGTACACATTTCGACACTTGCCACACATGGCTTCGGTTCATGTACACTATTTGGCCCGAGTAGGCCACTTTTATCTGGACTATACGATATCGACTGTTGAAGGGGTGGGTTTTGAAGGGGGCGAAAACGATGGGTTGGTTTCCGGGTGGGAGACGGCTCGAATTCACAGGGACGGATGCAACCAAGACTGGCCCGGTTTGCGTGGAATGGATTATTTCTTCGAAGGTTGATTTGTGCGCAGTCTTGTCAGATTTGTTTTTGAACTGACTATGGCGTATACCGAGATTGGCTGGCAAAATAGCTAAATGGAAATGGTCTACACACTTATCCAAGCGATTGAACGACCACCTAGAATAGCGAAATGGAAGTGGTCTACACGTCAGAGCGATTGAATGAGTGGCCTCGGGATAAGCGTGAATGTGGAAGTAGCTGAGTAAGATGGTCATTGCAGCGTAGGCGACCGTGGTGAATTTAATTAACACTGTGAGCAATGATTTTGGAGAGTCGATGTCTCCTATGATGTCTACCCTACAACTGGATCAAGCCGCACCACACAATCGCCTACGACGACACCAATGGGAGACTCCATTACCATATGAACCTTTTTTTAAGGTATCAGATCGAATTGAGAGTTACCACGAATTTACTCTTATTAAATAACCAACGATAATTGCAAGATCCCGCCGAACACAGGTTAGATAGACGAACGAAGATAGACGTAGATGGCCAAGATTACTATACGCTGCGGGAGAATATATAAAAGAGAGGTGTTAAAGCATAGACGAAATGGAATTAAGCCTATGACAAAAATACGTCAAACCTTTGCAGGTAGTGGTGGAAGCAGCTGTGAACGTCGAATCAATGCCGATGCCTATTGTGCAAGCCCTTTATTTCGTGAGAGCCGAGTCTTTTCAATTCCGAGCTGGGATCATGTTAGCCGGACTTCCTGTATCGAATGCGATTGACAAGATGGCGACGAGGAAATTTGGTCTCCTCGAGGGCCAGCATTTTTGTAGCAGTTGTGCGCCCTGAAAAAAAAAAACTGGCATGCAGTGATTGGAGTCGTTCGTTATTGTTCCCTCCGAGGGCATGCCATGCTGTAGTGAGCAAGTTGTATCTACTGCTTGAAAAGTATTTCAACGATAATCCGGTAGAGCCCGCTCGTGCTTCCACAAGGTTGTTCATGTTTCGTAACAATACGCCGTATAAGTATGACTTGAAGGTGTAAGCCTGTTCCCGAAGTATTGCGGATGCACGCCCGGGTACCACAGCACATGTACGAATAAACTCTACAAAGAAATCAAGCAGGATAGATTGGCAACAGAGACTCTTGGAATTCCCCAATCGGCGCCAGATAGCAGATTCACAGGTACTACACGACGATTTCCGACTCTCTAGCTCCTCAGCTCGGCCAACGATCAGAGGGTATTCATGGCCGAGACCGGTAAATCGCTTTCCGAGTAGTTGCGAGAGGCCTGCCCAATGGCAACCAGCACGGTGACATGTTCCGCCCAGATCCTGTGTTGTGCGCATGCACGTCACCTCATTTATGACCTGCGTCATGTCCCAAGAAATCCCATTCCCGGTGCGAACAAGGCCATCGGGATTTCGGGAAGTGGCATGCCCGTCAATCCACGGAGACAACAAGACCCCCTCCCTCCCAAAGATGCGCGGGCACAAGCCATTGTTTGCTTTACCCTTACCCGCCACCAGCCACTTTATGATAGCAACCCGGCGACTCGTGTCCGCCGCTGCGTCCTCTTTCTGACAGGCAAGCCGTGCCGGTACTTGCATCATCCATGGTGTGCTCGCTGGAGGGAAAATGTCGCATCCGCTGAACTATTTCTTTGCGCGTCATGGATGGGAAGCCAAAGGTCCACGTGGAAGGGAGTCTGGCCGTTGCACCGCGACCCGTCGGAAAAAGGGTCGGGAAGGGGGGGTGTCTGCACGACAGAATAATACGTGATTGGATCAGATTTCGAGATGAATTGCCATCTATGCGGATTCACTACCCCGTACCCCGGCCAGCGCTTTTTGTAGACTCCGGAACCCGCGACATGGAACAGTGCAATTACCACCTCCCGTTCCCAGAGCGCTCATGGGAACGAATTCATCGTGCGCTAGGATGAGGCATGGAACTGGTTGATCATGAGCATTGTATCAATCTCATGCAAGCAATCTCGCATTCTACAAGGCCACGAACAAACACGAGCCGTCCCGAGCCATTTCGGGGCCGCCCGCCAAGTTCCGGTCCCCCCCTTGCACGCGCGCACCTTGCAGGCCGCCAGTATTCGGATGCCCTTCTTCCCGCGCGAAGTCGATGCCGTCCGCTTCGTGTCGGTGCCGGACTCTTCGTGGACTATGAGATGCAAGTTACTATGCTTTCAGAACCGTCTTTTGTAGGACCAGTGTCACTCTTCTACTCTCCCGCGATGGGTTGTTGTTGTTGTCAGCGTCATAAGTAGGCTCGATATGCCCTCCCCCAAAGGTGCATCCCTCATCTTGTCCCATAATCCCATCTTTCTCGCGTATTTCATCTAGTTATATCCGCTTCTCCTCGCCGACCCCCCATGATGCTGTCCTGTCCGCGCGCCGTCGCCGTCGCACTGGCCCTGGCCGCACACGCCGCCGCCGCCGCTTACACGGCGCAGCTGCTCTACCAGTTTCCCAGCCACGCGCAATGGGTCGAGAACATGGCCGTGCGTCCCAACGGCCACCTGCTGCTGACGACCTTTGACCGAGCGCGCGTCTACGAGCTCGCGCCCAGCCAACAACAACAAACCCCGCGCCTAGTCGCCGCCCTGCCCGCCGCCGACGCCGCGCTCGGCATCGCCGAGATCCGCCCCGACGTCTTCGCCGTCGCCACCGGCCGCCTCAACCGCACGAGCTTCCACCTCGACGGCTCCGCGCGCATCGACACGCTCGACTTTACCTGCCGCGGCTGCGCCACCCAGCCGGCCATTGCCACCGCCGCCGCCCTGCTGCCGCACGCCAAGCTGCCCAACGGCCTGGCGGCGCTGCACCGCAGCTCCGTGGTGCTCTGCGCCGACTCGGCAACGGGCACCATCTACCGCGCCGACACGGCCACGGGCGCCGTGCACGTGGCGCTGCACGACCCGGCGCTGGCGCCCGCGCCCACCGCCGCCGACGACGACGACCCGTTCCTGGCGCTGCTGGGCGTCAACGGGCTGCAGGTGCCGGGGGACGGGTTCGTGTACGTGACGAGCACGTCGGCGCGGCTGCTCGGGCGGTACGCGCTGGACAACGCGGCAGCGGCAGCGGCGCTCGAGGTGCTCGCTAGGTACGCGGCGCCGCGCAGCCCAGACGACTTTGCCGTCGCGCGCAACGGCACCGTGTTTGGCGCGGTGCCGCTCGATAGCGTGTCCGTGGTGGCGGTGCTGCCGGGCAAAAAAGGGCTGCGCGACGTGCGCTTCCTCGTCGACCACGATGAGCGCATGCAGAGACCGACGTCGGTCGTGCTGAGCCGTGACGAGACGACGCTGTATGTGTCGACGGGGGGCAGGAATGTACCGGGCGGGAAGGGGGGCCAGGTCTTTGCTGTCCGGTTGACGTAGGTCGGCGCAGCGAAAAATCTAGAATATTTTCAAAAAATTTGTACATGAATGGACATGGATCAAACATGCTGTGTATACCCTGAAGCGGGTTTCTCTAATAATATCAAAGTAGCTCAGCCTTGTGCATCCCAAAATGGCAAACCACTCCGGCATCAAGCATCTCGGAGTCAACTGGTGCCCCGTCAAGTCCCCTGGCGGCAAGTCACAAAAAGCAAGTTCAACCAGCCAAGTTATTAATATCAGATCGACAACGGAGTCGGTTTTGCCAAGACTTGTGGCGCATCCCAGGGATTTCAGCCGCTCTTCAGCCCTTGAGCGAGTTGCGCGCAACTTGCCAACTGACTTGTCCAGCAAACAAACAATGAAACGGGACAGGAAAGTCTTCCTTGTTTCGGCACAAAAGGAATTTACATCACATTTAAGATCAAAACTTGCGCTATTGCTAGCTCCCGAGCGCCAAGCTTATTGCACGGACGGCCCATCGTGGCTCTTCATCAACGGTCGCTTGTTAAATAAGACCATTCATTAACGACCTATCGACTAGCTCACTAGCAGTGGCCAGTACACGAGTTGGTTTGTAATATGCTGGTCATTTTCTTACTCTTGACGCCCTTCTGTTTTGGGGGTTTGTGCCGGGAACGGGGTTCGGTGCGATGACGTCGTGATGTGCGCCAACCTACGTCCCACGTCGTCCACTCCGGCACTCAAAACCATAACACTTTAGTACTCCGTTACGCCGTCGGGTAAAAGCCATCACATCGGCACACATCAAATCTGCGAACCACCTGTCAACCCCCCCAACATGTTGAGCGGGTTTACTTTGGCCAAAGCCACCGCACTCAACACCCGGCACCGGACAACTTCGGACACCGTTCGTCAGAGCCCATGTCATGTTCCCCTCCCGGCCCACGCCAAAACATGACCAGTGGCTTTTCTCCTTTTCCAATCACTTTTCTTTTTTGCTCATGGCGCCGCTTGGACATTTTGTCGAGAAATACCTCTTGGTCATCTGAGCAAAAGCCAAAAGATGTGTGTGGGGATTTTTCCCAGACCGACAAAGGCCAAGAGTCAGCCGACCACTGTTGGCGTCGTTTCCAACAAGGTGGCAGACAACTTTCAAACAGCCATCTTCACACGCCATTTCGCACACCGTCTATTTTCTTCCGCTCAATGTGGCGCGGGGACATGTATTCACCTATCAAGATGAGCACACCCAAATCTGTCAAAATCCATACATACCACAAGCCGAGTAAAGTGTGAAAATAACATGTTTTCATCGAGAATATACAGAAACTGCATTGTTTCGTCTCCGTATTCTTGTAAAAAAAATACCACTCAAAACCCCACACACTTCCCTGACAGGAACCGTTGTTGCTCGGTTCGAGTTGGTGACCAATACCCTCGTGTACATGGAATAGCCACTCTTTATACAATGAAAAGTCGTCATGTTTCAAAGAAAAGACAGTGGGAGAAGGGAAAAAGAACAGAAGAAACACATGGCTTTCTATCGAGACACACTTTGGACAATCTTTAACAAAAGAGCTCGCTCGAAGCAAAAAATGTACACACTCAAAATTCTGAAGACGGCATCAAAGATTCTATCCAAGATACTCATCTTGAATCAAGTTGTACCACGGCTGGCCGCCACGCCACGAAGCCTCCATGAGCTTTCGAGCGCGCTTGACCTAGATTCGCAAAACACTGTTAGTTTATCGTCGCAGTATTTTTCAGACAGTTTTCTGTAAAAAGAATCCGTACCTGTTTCATGCCACTCTTCTCCGCGCTCTTGAACCGGGCCAGAATCAGCCTCCGCTGCGCCCCATCATTCGTCTCGCAGCCAGCCACAAACAGCGGAAACAGGCACGCCGTGTCCGCCTCCTTTTCTCTGCGCACATGTTGAATACACTCCCATATCCGCTGCACCCCGTCCTGCACCCCGTCATCCCCCGACGTTTTGCGCAGGATGCGGCGCCGCAGGTAAACCACGCCAGCCCAGTGGAACGCCTGGCTGGCCGCATCCATTTCCGTCAGGCTGCGCATGTCCATCTTGTTCTTGCGCAGGTGGTGGCACACCTTGACCGGCTTCGTCATGCTCTCCTTAAAGCGGCGTTCCAGGTCCAGTGCCGCTTGGATGGCGCCCTCGTCGGGTGCTGCCGCCTGCTCGTCGTCGTCCGGGGGCAGCTGTCGGATCTGCGCCGACAGCTCGACGAGGAGCTGCCCGCAGTGCGTGGTGAATCCCATGACGCAGTCGAATTCCTCCTCGTCGTCGACGCTGATTTTATGCAGCAGGTCGTACGGCCCCGTCTGGGGGGAAATGCCCTCAATCAACGGCGCGTTGCTGACTTGGCCCATGGTGTCGAGATAGGAAAACCAACTAAAGATAAACGAGAGCTCGTCGCTCTTGGCGTTTTGCGCGTTGAGAGTGGCGAGACGCTTTTCCATGAGACTGCGCGTGAGATTAATGTGTTTTTGCCAGGGGATGTTGGCGCCAAAGGTACTCGGCGACGATTTTTCAAGCGATGTTAGAAGCACCATGGACAGCAGCGTATCGTCTGTCACGGCCTGTGTTTGGTCGCCAAGCATCACCCGCAAAACGGAAAAGATGTCTTCGGCCCATTCGGCTATGCGCAATTCGGGCTCCGTCATGCGCAGGACTTGTGACCGGTGCACAGCTGTGGCGCGTTAGCCGAGGTTTGTGATCAAGAGAAGACGAAAATCTGACCAGCAAAAGCCAACATCAGGCTCAGGAGAATATCACTTTGGAATGCAATGGCAGGCATAAAGTTGCTAAATGGATTAGCTTCTTTGTTGTGGTACGGTGCCATGACTAGATTTTGTCAGCGAGGGCCGACGCTGTCTCGTTGTTCTCGCATACCTTTTGCTGTGTAATTGACAAAGTGGTCCTATAAATACATTCAGCATGAGTCGTACTATTGGACAACCAATAATTACTCACGAAGAACTAAATGTTATGTTAGCAAAGGCCGTTGCAACAAGCCAAGTTGCACTCACCATCATGTTGGTCTCATCTCTCAGCCTAATCAACCTCTGTCAGCAACTAGTCCCACTGTGTCATGGGAAAGTCTCTCACTTGTCTGGGATAGGCGATATCCCTTTCGGCAGCGCATTAATCGTCTGCTGATATTCGCTGCTGATGATCCAGGGCGGATTCCCGTTTGTCGGCGTTGCCTGCTCGGGGACCGTCTCCAGGGCTCTGGTTCCAGTCAAGGGCTGATTCATGTCTCCCATGACCATCATCCAGGGATCTCTGCTCATGAGGCACATCATGCTACACGTGGGCGCGCTACTGTAGCCGACCTGTGCCATGTACGAGAGGCTGGTCGGGCAATCTACGCAGTCGGTGCCCGTGCCGTCGACGCTGGATCTACAATCAGACGTCTCGACGGCGGCCGAATCCCCCCATATTGATGCAAGCGCCATCTCATCGCTCGTACACGAGGCCACGCGCGACAGCTGCGGCGAGTGCGAGGCGATGCAGCCCATCATGGCGTCGGTGCTGGTGGTCCATGTGCCGTTCCACCCGAGATCGATGGGGGACGGCGCCTGGTCTAGGTAGTAAGGGTCCCTGGGGGCGTCATTTCGTGCCGATCGAGAGGCGAGGACGACCTCTTCGCTCGTCGATATCGTCGACGCGGGACTCTGCGCGACGCCGTTGACGTGGGCGGCTGTGTTGGTCATGGTGGTGTCTTGGCCGGCGCCCAGGTTGAAGCCGAGGTCCGCCGAGGTCCGCCGGTCCATCGAAAAGGCGTCATCCATCGACTTGGCCTTTCTCTTGACTACGACGGCCGACGAGGCGCTCATGTCGGAGCTGCCCTGGTGCAGATCCTGAAAAAGCGTATGCTCAAACTCGTAGTGTATAGGGCCTGCGTGTGCTGGGTTCGGCGCGGTGGCATAACGCTGTAGAGGCACGCCGATGTGATCGGTGGCCGAGGTGTCCACCAGAAACTCATTGCTGAAAATTGTCGGTAAGGGAAACGCCTCATCAGCGTCCTCGGCGACGCTGCGGCGCTTGATCCGCCGTCCTTCCCAGTTCAACCGGATCTTGTAGTCGCAAGTGTCTCCCGTTTTTAAGCAGCTGCCCAACAAGGATTGAATGTCAGCACAAACCGTCCGCCGGTAGCACCAGGGACCCGTGACAAGCCCCATCAACACAGTGTTGCACCTACTTTTGACAAACGGGTCGTTCCTCTCCGCACTTTACCTTGCGGGATTTGCAGGGCCTGCTTTCTGGTCAAACAAAAAAGAATAACATGGTAGCCGCTTGTAAGTGGCTACTCACCAGCAACCGGTACGGCTGCGTCGCTTGGGTTCTGACGACCCTTGGTTCTTTGCGCGTGGCATGTTGACTGGCCAGAGTTCATGCCAGAATATCGAATATGATTTGAGGGTCGGCGGTGGCGGCTGAGAGACGCCGAGACGGAGCAGCAGCGACAAAGTGTGTTGGAGGGGAATACACTGGGGATGGTCGAGCAGCCACTACTGGCAGTCGGTTGGGGGTTGGTCGGGTTCTTTAAGTACGGCATGGATACGACATGAACAAGATGAAATAACGTGCAAAAATCAGCCGTAACGGACACAAGGCCGTATTTAAAGGCAACATGGTAATGAGCCCACGACTTGGCCACTGGGCCACCGCGAGAAGAGGACAAGCGCATGGTGGGCAGATGGCGACCCCAACCGACAGGGGTCCTGATTCCAGCTGGCTGGTGACGCTTGCCTCACTCTCCAGCCAATGGGGCCGCAGGCAATCCGGAAACCTAAGCAGAGTGCAACATGACAGCAGCTCGTGCAGCCAACCGAGCGGGGAGAGGTCCGTCTTTTGCGAGAGGCAGGGCAACCCTGCAGGCGTTCAGTGTCGAGATGTCGGCAGCAACTGGGCCAGATGGGCTGGAAATCCGGCTCGTCGCGGCTTGGTGGGGGAATAACCAGGCTTCACGCTAGCCACCGTGGCTGAAGGCGCTATTTGGCTCAGCTCGGTGACAGCAAGGGAGCCTGTAGGGAAGAGGAAAGTGAAACATGGACTATGCGTTGCGACGGACCCAAGGCCGTGGTAAGTTGGTCCTTTTCGACAAGCGGGCTTGCCGACGATAATATTTGGTTCTTTTTTCGGTTGCTTGTTACTGGTAGTGACTGAGTAAGTCGTTGAGTAAGTCTTCTCTGTAACTAGAGTGAGTTGTAACTAGTCTCGCGTAGAGTTGGTTTCTGCCTCAACTCGAAAGACTATTGCCTCAACCTGCCAACTCGGAAGACTATTGCCTCAACCTGCCAACGCAGACGTCTCGGTACCTTTCGTGTTGCTACATTTGCCTCGACTCGGATTCTTCTTACATCACGTCAATGTTGAGGATTTTAATATCCTCCTCCGGCTTCTCCTTGTACGTGCGCGTATTCTCAATCTTTTGAATCACGTCGAATCCTTGGGTCGCGCGACCAAATATCGTATGTTTCCCATCAAGCCATGGCTGCAGCACAATACTCTTCGGTTAGCCCAACGTGGGGTTCCGTACTATAGGCGGGTAGAGAGAAAGAGGAGCGGGAAAAATCTGCAGGATCATCCCGGGCGGGAAGGGAGGTAGCGTGCCCACTTACCGTCTTTTCCGTCGTGATAAAAAACTGACTGCCATTAGTGTCGGGCCCGGCATTGGCCATGCTGACCGTGTACGGCTTGTCATGCTTGAGGCTGCTAAACTCGTCCGCAAACTCGCGACCCCAGATGCTCTCGCCGCCTGTGCCGTCGCCGAGCGGGTCGCCGCACTGTATCATGAACTTGCGAATGACGCGATGGAAGAGGGTGTTGTTATAGTAGCCCTGCTTTGCGTGCGTGACAAAGTTCTCGACCGTTTTCGGTGCCGCATCGGGAAAGAGGCGCAAGTGGATGTCACCATAAGTCGTATGGAGCACCGCTGCATTCCCTGTCTCTGTTTTCTTAGCATTGCCCTCCTTCTTGCGACCTTGCGCGACCGGCCGTTCATTGTGCACGTCGCGCGTCGATTTCGAGATTTCCTCGTCGTTTGTGAACAGGTAGAATCGGACTTTGCCCGCCGCCGTCGCCACCAGCACAGGGTCACGGGCTTCTGATTCCTGCAGCAGGGGGTTACTCGACGCGCCCATCTCCACCGATGTGACACCCTTTTTCTGCGGCTGACCCTGGTACATGGCCAAGTTGATGGCGCGCAGCCCGTCATCGCGCCCATACGTCCTGACCACCTGATTCGTGTACGTGTTGACGACTTTGATGCCCAACATGGATCCGTACACCAGGAAATTCCCTGATTCGTCAAAAACCACGTTCGACCCGGACCGCATGCTCGCCGACTCGACCTCGCGCTCCTGCGCTAACCGCCGCCCAAACTCGACCTGATCCATCTTCTGCAGCGCACCCCCCGCCTGCTGCAAATCTTGCATGGCTTGCAGTGACTCGTCATAGGTACGATGCAGCTTGGCCGACGCGAAATTGAACAGCCGAATCTTGCGATCAGGGAGCGAAAAGGTGGCAAAGCTGGTGCCCTGCGGGGAGATGGTGATACATGTAGGAACAGATTTGGACTTTTTGAAATCAAAAAGATTCGTCGTGCTCTTGTACTCAAACACCCCCTCAGGCTTTTCGTATGTCCCGCTCGGACGCCAGTACTCGATCATGCCGCCCTCGTCGGCAGATACGACACAATCGTAGCTGTCATTAAATGCCATCAGATGGACAGGGTTTCGGTGCAGCCCCTTTATGGTATGGATCGGCTCCTCCCTGTCCCCCCTGCCGTCGTACACATGTACGAGCGGCTTCCCCTCTTGGGACGCCGCCAGCAGTGGAAACGAGGCGCCCTTTTTGTGCACCCAGCACACGCTCCTAGGCACGTAGCCCAGCGTGATCATGGACAAGAGATCAAACGTGATGACGTCGAATATCTTGATAGTTTCGTCCGCTCCGGCCGTAGCAAAGCTGCGGCCATCCTGACTAACCGCCACGGCCCTAATCTCGCCGTCATGTGCTCGAAACTCCTTGACGAATTCAATGCCCTGCGCCACCTTTTTCCAGAACTTGACCACGCCGTCGACAGACGCGGTAATGAGAAATTCGGTGAGCGGCGTCCACGTCACAAACGAGACTTGCTCCTTGTGCATGAGGGACCGGGAGTATCGCGCCGAGACGGGCAGGGCGGCCACGTAGAGCTTCTCGTATGGCAGGACGCGCCGCTTCTTCTTGGGCGCTTCGGCCGAGGGCAGCTGGGGGCCCATGTCGTCATCCGAGGAATCTGCAGAGCTACATGTTAGAGTTTGGAAGCCTCATTGGACAAGTAGGTAGCCATCCTTTGCGCGGGGAGGGGGGGGGAGCCGTACCTGAAGCGTCATTGTCCAGCTCAGCGTGGGTTCGCTTCTGGGCTGCGCTGTCATCTGCGGCGCGGTCAGCCATGGCAGCGGCTGTCGACTGGTTCGGATCGATGACGGCGTCAGGATTGGAGCGGCACGGGATGCGGTGGCAAGTCGACGCGTGCTGTTGTTGCTGGAAAAGTTGAGACGAACGCAGAACCTAACCTTGGGCAAAAACGACAAGCTTGCGACGGAAAGTTTTACTGGAGCCAACAGCCTTGGGTGGGGTTGCCGCCTGCGGCTCCCAATGCAGGCACAGAGCATGGTGACAACTCCCCTGCCCATTGTTCGATGGCAATCGGTTCCCGAGAAAATAAATGGGCATCTTTCTCGCTTCTGATGGACTGTAAGCCACTTTGCCATTTTTAGCCACAAAGTCCGCCGTTCCATGCCATGTGATGACCCCGGCCTGTAATGCCGTCCCCGGACTTTCAAACCCAATATTTCGCCGCCTCCGCAAAACTAGGCCCCGCGGCAAGCGGGCGCCAGCCATCATTTCTGCTCCCCTTTCCGGTCGTCAAAAATTACAATTTGACCATAGCTAATTCTCATCACTTCGATCTGACAATTTGGCAGCCCTTTATTGGACAAAATTACCATCCTCCCCTGTCCGCCGCACGCGAACTGCAAATCATGGCTCAGCATCCTCTTCAGAAAGCCGACTCGCCCGGGCGTGGCTTCTCCCTGCTCTGGCATCTCGTCGGCCTCGCCTCCTTCGCATCCAGCTACCGGTTCCTGCTTGGTTGGAAGACGCCCATGAGCGAGGCCTACGGCTGGCACCTCCAATTCCTCACCATCATCGCCCTGACGCTCTCCTTTGTCACCTTTGTCGTCGCGGCCGTCGCCGACGTCACGCGCAGTGCGACCCTCTTTGGCGTCAAGAACTCACTGTCCGTCGTGGCCACGCCGCTCAACGTCGTCGTCACGACGCTCTACTTTGGCATCTCGGCCATTGACCCGAAGCTCGTCGTCCCGCCCGAGTTTCGGCTGCCATTGGCCGTCGACCTCGGCTTCCACTTCGCCCCGAGCCTGCTGCTTGTCTTTGACCACCTGGTGCTCAGCCCGCCATGGACGGTCGGTGCGCCGCTGGTCATGGGCCTCAGCACCAGCATCGCTTTTGGCTACTGGTACTGGATTGAGCTTTGCTACAGCAAGAATGGCTGGTAAGTTTACTATGGTGGCTGACATTGCGTTGGAGCCCTTGCTGACACGACCAGGTACACCTATCCCATCTTTGGCCTGCTCAACACCCCGCAACGTGTTCTGCTCTTTACCTTTTCCGCCGTTCTGGTCACTGTGGCGTCATCATCTCTCAAGGTTGTGTACACTAAGCTTAATGGCCCGGCTGTCGCGGCAGCCAAAAAGACGAATTAGGGGTTTTTAGAATATCTTTGTACACATTTTGGATGTATGCTTTTTGTATATCGTGTGCGCCACTCATAAAGGCGCCTTTAGTAATGACTACACGCCATTGGCTGAAATATTTACAAGTCTCTCAATGAGCTTACAGATTCGATCGAACATCGCCCGGGTGTTGAATCTTGGCTACCCTCGAGGGGTTGAGTTCCGCTATGTTCTTGACGCCAGAAATACCCATCGTGATATCCAAGTCTGCAAGAAGGTTCGCCAGGACAGCATACGCGCCGTCCTTACCAGCAATACCCAATCCGTAGACAACAGGCCGGCCAACAAACACGGCCTGCGCTCCGAGACAAAGAGCCTTGAAAATGTCCGCGCCGGTACGGATGCCGGAATCCATCATGACGGTAATCTTGCTCCCGACCGCCTGGGCAATACCCGGTAGCGCATCAAGGCTGGCGATGGCGCCGTCCACCTGGCGCCCACCGTGGTTGCTCACAATGACGCCGTCCAAGCCGTACTCGACGGCGAGCTGGGCGTCCTCGACGCTCAGCACACCCTTGACAACCATCGGCCCATCCCAGTACTTGCGCAGAATCCGAATCTCGTCCCACGAGCGGCTGACGCCCGGAAAGATCTCGCTGCACCAGTACATGCCCGCCAAGACGGGGCTCTCCTCGGGCGTCTCACCATCGGTCCTCTCCGCAAACTTGCGCCGGAAGACGGGGTCTTGGAAGCCGACCTCGTCACCGACGCCGGTGAGGAAGGGTATGTTGGCCGTGTCCAGGTCGCTCGGTCGCCAGCCCATGATCCATGTGTCGAGCGTCACGACCAGGGTCTGGTAGCCGTGCTTCTTGGCCCGGGTCAGGATCGAGGCGGTGATTTCCTCGTCCTGCGGCCAGTAGAGCTGAAACCACTTGTCGCCCTCGGGCGATGCCGCGACGAGCTCCTCGATGCCCGTCGTGGCCGAAGTGCTCAGCGTAAAGGGCACGCCGAGCTCCGCGCACGCCTGGGCGTTGCCAATCTCCTTGTCAGGGTGCATGGTGCCCTGGACACCGAGCGGCGCCATGAGGAGGGGCGATCCTAAAAGCTCGGCGTCAGACTCAGAAACAAACTAGGCAATGTGATAGATGATGTAGTGACATACTGTACTTTTTGCCAAACAGGGTCACGCTCAGATCCCGGTCTCCTGTCGGCCTCATCATGCGGGGAATTATCTTCCACGAACGAAAGGCGAGACGGTTGGCATGCATGGTTGCGGCCTCGCCAGCGGAGCCACGGATATACTCAAAGCCCCTATGGAGTACCATTTCCTTGCGCGCCTGCTCCTCGAGGAGGTTCGGATCCGTTGTCACCTTGGGCAGGTTGCCCATGACGACGCCCTGCTCGAGCACCGTCTTTACGTGGTTGGCGTAGGGTGGAGGGCCGTCATCGTCGTTGTTGTCGGACATGATTTTTTTATGTAGGATGGGAATAGAACTGGAATGCGGCCGCGATTGGAAAATCTGGGGTCGCAAAAGTAAATGCGGAGGAATCGGGAACGGCTTGGGGTGACGAGGTAGGGCACGGCGTTTATACGAGGTGCCGTGCCTCGGTTTACGGACCCGCTGTCTCGGTGCAATGGCTGGTGCAGACAGATTTTTGCTGCTCATGCAAGCTTCAACGACGTCGACAAAATTAGCTTGAAAATGGAAATATATACAGAACCTCGGCAGCAATACTTGAGAGCCTTTGGTCCTTTCGCATTACTTGGCCGCTCATCACAAGCACCCGAGCCATGAATTGTTCCCCTGGCAGTGACGCATATGCGACCTATGTACACATCCGGTGGTTGCAGACGCAAGTTGCTGCGATTGAATATCTAGCCATTATTCAGCTATGATTCCCCGAGAAAGAAACAAAAATCTTATATTTACCAACTGAATTCCTCTCTGTTTTTTTTTTTTTTCAGTGCCACAATCTTTTTCACATTGCATCTTGTTCGTCTCAAATGCACCAGACCAAAATTCTAGCGCCTATTCTGCTGCCTCAGAACCCCACCCCCACCATTCGCGACAACATTTTGCGCTTCAACGACTTCTCGCGTGCTTTCCGTCGCAAAGCGCTGCCCATTCGACCTGTCGCAGGATCAAGAAGGCCATCGGAACGCCCAACAGCCCCAAGCATGGACATTGACGACATCCTTCGCGAGGTCGACCCCCAGGCGTACCACATCCCCCGCCAGACACGCGACCTGCAAGCTCTGACGCGTAGATGGGTAGCAGAGCGGTCTGCGCCGGAGCTCCTGGCGTACGTAATTTACGAGTTTTTCCCAGCGTTTCAATGTTGATATCCTGGTGGGAGATTCTTGGTGTACTGACGTTGTGTCGCTTCTTCTAGCTGGCAGTCGGATGGGCTGTTTGAGCGCGTCAATGAGCAGATCAAGGCGCAAATCGAAAAGATTGAAGAGATGACGGGCGACATGGATCCCAAGACCAACTTTGCCCTCATTGTCATCCAGACCGAGCTAGAGCGCTACAAATTCCTCGTTCGAAGCTATCTTCGAGCGCGCATCGCCAAGGTTCGGCCCAACCTCTGTCGCTCTTCCCAACGCCAAACCCAGCTGCTAACGTGCGGCCTACCACATGCAGATTGACAAGCACACCCTACACTACCTCTCCGACGAAGCGCTGCGAAATCGATTATCCTCGACCGAACTCGCCTACGCCACGCGCCACCAGGCGCTCCTCCACAACCACTACCTCTCCTCCTTCCTCGCGTCCTTTCCTGAGAAGCTGCAGAACCTCAACGACACGGCCGGCAACATCAGCATGGTTGACGCGCCGGACCTGGACACGGCCGTCTTTATCCGCATGCTGCGCGACAAGGACGTCTTTGGCCGCGGCACGGACGAGGACATCACGCTGGCGGCGTCGAACGCTGACATTCTGATTCTGCGATGGTCTAGCGCCAGACAGCTGGTGCTCGACATGGACGCGGAACTGGTCTAGAACGGCCAGGTGATGGAGGGAAAGAAGCGGAAGACGACGACACACAACGAATAGGTCACACCGAGCAGGGGAGCTCTCCATTGCCATCACCCTGCTACTTCCCGAGCAGTACGACATGATGAAGCAAATGATGATTTAGATTCCACATAGAACATATGACACCCAACACAAGATAATAGCGATTTTTTTTTAAATAAGTTACACCGAAAACGCCCAATGCTGTGAGAGTCTAGTCTTTGCATAAAGTGTATAAACATGCAGCCGAAAGAAACCTCCATCCCAAAAGTTTTCCCTCCCTTCTTCAACTCCTGATATCCCAGAGCCTAATCTTGCCTACATCGTTACCCACGGCGAGCAGGTCGCTCCCGCGGCCAAACGCCACCGCCGTGAGGCGGCCAATGCTGGTCTGCTCCGTCGGCCAGTTCCTGTACACGGTGCACGTGGGCAGGTGCACCAGGCGCAGCGCGTCCTTTTTGTACTGGCTGCCAAAGGCGAACAGCTGGCCGTCGGGCGAGAACGCGAGCGCGGTAATGGCCGTGACGAGCTGCTCAAACGTGCGCCTCGGCGACGGGCGCTCCTTGAGCATCTGCTCGCCGTCGTCGCCATCCGTGGCCGTCCGCAGAAGCTCGCTGCGTTCATAGATGTTGGTGATGCCGCTGCTGGAGCCGACAGCCACCCAGCGGTCCTCCCCGAGCGCGGCGGGACCCTGGTGCCCGCCGAGCGCAATCACGATGCCGCCCACGCAGCCCTCGTCATGCCAGACCCCGACAAACGACTGGCTCTCGACGCTGTACTCGCCGACCTGGCCGTCCTTGCCCAGAATGGCGAGCCCATCGCCGTTGCTCCACCACGCAAAGTCCGCCACGCCGTGCCGGCTCGACAGCCGCGCTGCCGCGATCCACTGCGTCGACGCCACGCTCAGCACGTTGACCACGCCGCCGCCCTTTCGGCCGGACCCGGCGACGGCCATGTACCGCCCGCAGGGGCTCAACCGGAAGTGCTCCATGGTCTTGTGCTCCAGACGGTGTCCGAGCACCTGCGTCGTCTTGGCCACGACGCCCGACGGCAGGTCCCAGGTGTGGAAGTAGCGCCGGCGGCCGCCAAACACAATCTTGTCGCCGTCGGGGTACAAAAAGGCCGCGCGGCGCACGTCCACCTGCCGCGCCTGCACAGACGTCAGCCGCGGGTGCGGCGTCGGCTGCGCGTCGGCGGCGATGTGATGCAGGTACAGAATGGAGGCGCTGCTGGCCGACAGCAGCACGGGATACTGCGGGTGAAACGACAGCGAGGACACGGCGGCCTTGTGCTTGTCGGGGATCTCGCGCGTGCGCTGGATGTCGAGCACCTCGGGCCGCAGCCGACGCGTCTTGGTGCTGCCCACGCCGCCCAGGCTCGTAGCGCTGCGCAGAAACTTTTCGAGCGGCTCGGCGGAAAAGGCGTCCGAGTCGCTGTCGGAGGAGTCGCTCGAAGCGGCGGACGAGCGCCGGCGCTTGCTGGGCCGGCCCTCGGCTTCGCGGGCCCAGGCGGGGGACGGGTTCAGACGCAGGTATTGCTGGCGCAGACGCCGGCAGTACTCGGTGCCGCTGACGAGGTCTTCGGCCTCGGTGAGGCGGAGCTTGCGGAGCCTTGACGTGTTGGCGAGCGAGATGGCCAGGCGCTCGTCGTCGCTGTCTTCCCACACGGGGGCGTTGGGGTCGTCGGCTCCCTTGGGTGCGGAAGTGACTGGGCCCTTGACGCCTGGCATGGCCGTGTCCACCATGAACAAGGCGTCGTCGTCGACCTCTTCCAAGTCGCCATCGCCGTCCATGTCGTCGCCCGGGCCGCCAAACAAATCCTTGCTGTCATTTTCAAAGAGATTCTCTCGGAATCCCGCCCTGTCGCCTAGAACGAGCCGTTCGAGTTCTTCCTCGTCCGAATCCTTTTCATACACGGGGTTGGCTAATTTTTGCTTGCCTTCTTCAGCACGGCCGCTGGTCGACTCGACGTCCGAGGACATTTCGCTATCCGAAAATTCCTTTCCGGAGGGGTATTGCTCTTTTGAGGGTGCCATGGTCGTCGGAGTGTCTCACTGCTGCGCTGCACCGTTGATTTCGAACTTTGCGCGGCGTGGGAAAAGCTGCTTGAGAGCATTCGACGACGCCTTGGGACGAATAATTTTTTGGTGGTCCATCACAGCCTTGTTGAAGTATATGTGGGTCATAAAGTAGACTGTCCAATCAACATCGGAAGCTTTCGCGAGGCTGAGCTTTTGTAACAATGATCACGTCCATTTACAATAAGTACAGGTTGCTATGCTAAAAAAAAATGTAGGACTCTAAATCTCTTTTAATTAGTTTTTTGATGCATTTCTGACTGCTTCTGCCAGACTGCCCAAGTCGGGACTGACCGATTCTGTGCTCTTCAACGTCAGCACAGCACCACGCTGGGCCACATCCACCAGCTTGTCAACCCGACCGCCTTGTGCAAGCCCAGAAATTAGTACTCCAAGGAATGTATCTCCAACCCCATTGACAGATACAATATCCTTCACCGATTCCACAGCTGGGAACAGGCGCATGTAAACCCCGCCTACTACCGGGTGTGTCGGTGGTGAGCGGGTCAAGATAAATTCTTCCTCATCTCTATCTCTCAGACGGGGGTCGTCCTTGCCCAAGATTGCCGTCATCAAAACGCCCTTGGATCCCAGCTTGGTCAAAATTGTCGGGATATACGGGAGCAGGTTAATTGTTTGGATGGGAACGCCGGCATCGGTAAGCTCCACAGAGGTGAGGTGGATGAAGCGATCGCGAGCCCCTCTCATTCCAAATGCATCGATGACTTCGAACCAATCCATTGGCTCAAAATAGCCGTTATCCTTCGCTGTGTTATACATTGCTGCGAGTTCGTAGGTGTTGGGCGAAGCTAGGCTGATGCTAGGCTCGGGGTATAGGTTTAGCCTTGGAAGTCCACGCTCGGGGCAAAAGAGACTCTTTGACTTTTCCGCCGAGACCGGCTCAAAGGCAACTTTTGCGTCATTATCTTCGCCGGCTCTAATCCAGTTTCTAATTTCAGGGGGCGCCCAGTTCCCATCGACCACAAGCCACTTTGGCTTTGATGCGGCGACAGTGGAACGCCAGTGGTCCGAAAACGAATTCTTGGAAAATATGTTCATGTCGGCCATGGCGAGCACCAAGTCCTTATTTCCGTCATTTACTGCGACGTATTGCGCAGTGCGCCCCTCGGGATACTTCTGGTGGTTCAACTTCATTATTGATGAAGTATTCAGGCCAGATGCATTGAGTGAGGTGAGGACAGTTTGGCCGGCCCTGTGAGACGGGGTCAATATAAATCAAGAATCGGATAGATTGCCTCCAACTTACACGTCATCGCCCACCAAGCTGCAGAATTGAACCCCGGAGCCTCCACTAGCCAGATGAGCGGCTACAGCAACGTTGCGACCAACACCGCCAACAGACTGGCTAATACGCGACGGATTCGACACGTGCGACTGAGGCGACGCATCCCCAGATTTGGGGCGGGAATAGTCGCAGCTCAAATCAACAGCAACAGATCCGGCCACCATAATATTTGACACGGGGGCTGACGCCGGTGCTGGCTCCGTCTTCGCTTCTGTGGGTTGTGGGCGGACCAGAACAGGTTGGTGCAACAATGCTCTATTGAATATGCTATATTAGACGACTATGTAACAAAATTCATGACCAAGCGCACTTACGAGCTACCAGTCTGGCTTGATTTGGGCGAGAGCAAGCGCGATAGCTCCACAGAAACCTTGGTGGCTCGGATTATGTTGGAGTGCACGAGGGCCTTGTTGGCCACCACCGTCTTCTCTGACGTGAGCTCTCTGAGGCGGCCCAGGATGTAGGGTGTATTATTGCTGCCCGTGAAGCCTTTTTCGTTGGCCTCTCTGACAGCCTGTTCAATGACTACTTGCATCTCCGCGGCTGGGATGCCATGCTCCTCCGAAATGGGATTCGCAAAGAACATGCCCGATTCGATGCCCAGCATTTCTTGCGCGTAGATGATGGACGCAGCCTCCTTTTCCGTGGTCACGGTCAGAGGGCTCTTGATGCCGCTCTCTCGCGCCCAAAAGGCTGGAAAGTCAACGCTGCCCTGTCGTCCGTCGGCAAAGGACGACACCAGGCAGCCTTGTGTCTCGAGGAACTCGAGGGTGCGCGGAATGTCGAGGAAGCCTTTGCAGCCACTGCCAATGACGGCAACTCGAGTGCGGCCCAGCTCGGTCAGGTCAGCAGAGACATCCATGGAGCTTTCGCCGCCGCGGTGAACACCACCCAGACCTCCGGTGCCAAAGACGCGGATCCCGGCGGCCTTGGCCAGGAGCATAGTTCCGGCAATGGTAGTACCGCCATGGATTTTGCGGCCAGCCAGACCCTAACACATCATATTAGTCACGTGCGTTGCGGTTTGAAAGCATCGCGAAGGTCGCCTTACCATTCCCACTAGATATGCAATGTCCCTTCGAGAGGCCTTGACAGTGCTCTTGTCCTCAATCATGCGCAGGATCTCTTCATACGAAACTCCAACCTTGGGGCGTCCATCGACAATGGCAATAATGGCAGGAATACCGCCATGACGGCGCACCAGGTCGAGGTGCTGCTTGGCAAGATCGTTTCCCAGGATGCCATGGGTGTAGATGGTGGACTCGAGCGCCACCACGGGCTTGTTTGTGGCCACAGCATCCGCCACCTCCTCCGACACGGACAACAGCTCCCGAAGACCCGACGCGGCAGCTGGTGAGGACGAAAAAGACCGCAAGCCAGCTTTCGGGGTAAATTGGAATTGACAGACTGCACGGGAGTCCCGCACGTGCTGTGCCCGTGCCAGGCGGAGGAGAGTCGCTCTCATGGCAAGGAAATTCTCAGCTTCGCCGAGGCGGAACACGTCTTTACCAATTGAGACCGCGCTGGGTGGATGGTGTCAACCCAATATCGGCAGTTTCTCGGCGCAGAATCGTTGCTCGGGTATGGTGCGGAATTGATGATGAAGAGACAGGAGGAAATTGAAGTGTAAAGATAATGTAGGTAGGTAGTTACCTAGAACTGGCTTCGGAGCACGCCGCCAGGTGGGGACGCGCCGTCCCAAGTTGGCCGATTAGCGGGCCAACGGGTCAAGGCTCAGGACTAACAACTAACTTATAACAGCCAAAGGAAGACGCGCCTGGCAAAGCTAGTGTGAAGATGTCGACTCAGTAGACTGATAATATGTACTGGTATTTACATCTTCATTTACAGTACTTGGCACCTCGCTTACAGCATGTCTTTCTACTGTCTTGAACTTTTCTTCTATCGAGATCTCCGATCATGCGCTGAGATGTCAAGACAAAAAATACATCAAGACGAGAAGCAGCCAATGACCATGATGCCAGTAGCACTCACTAATTACCTACTTATGTACAGCGTGCTAGTACAGTGCGCGCATCCCAGTCATATCACTTGTATAGCTCTGCTCCGTTAGCGTTTTGCGTACAGAACGGCTCAATTTCAGCTGAATTTTGCAGTAAGAATTTGCATCAATGTGTATTTTCTTTCCTTGAGAAAATCGGCCACTGCATGACAACGTCGTGGACAATGGATCGTCAGTCGTGGCCACTCCAGGTCACGCCAACCCCTTTAGCACCTCTCTGTCCCGATACTGGCTTGTCTTGCCCCTATATCGCGGAAATGCCAGCAAAAAGAAGACTTGTGTCAGGATCAAAATAGCTGTCATAATTAAGTCTCAGAGCAGGGGCCATGTAGTTGGGAAATCTGCCTGCAACTTGACTTGTGAGTCGGGCGTAAACGGCAAGACTGAGCAGTAGCGCCATAAAGGAAGTTGAATTTCGGGAATGGGTCGAATTGCGTTGTTTTGAATACAAGCTTGCAGCCTATTCATAGGCGTAAAGAAAGCGGCTATATGCCAAAACCTTGGTACTACGTGCAAGCGCGCATCAGCCAGTTTGCCAGTGTTGTCATCGCATCGTTGTGTGACGCCCGTGCCCGGTGTCGATCGCATTATTCTGCGATTCCCGTTTCCGGTCGGTCGGGCTCGGCCGGTCTAGGGCTCCGGCGGACAAACGTATCGGAATACGGACATTGGGCCGGCGAGACATTGACTGGTTAATTAGCTATTATTATGGACAGATGGGAGCGGGTTAGTCCCGTGCAACGCCACTGACAGGGCAGCTTCTCCGCACTTTTGAGCTTGCCGAGGGTGCTAGTGCGTACCAAGTAGGCGATGACCCTTCATCATTGAGGCCCCGCGCTTTCAGAAACTCATCATCCGTGAATGCCAGTTATCAATCGCTGGCCGCCTGTACATTTATTAAACGTCTTTCATTCATTTTCATCGCGGCGCTGCAAGTAAAGCGCTTCAACACCTGACCAGCCGCTCCGACACATCCGACGAAGCCCCAGACTCAACCCGCGTTTTTGTCTTTCAACATGCCTATGCACCAGGGATTTCTCCCCCGCGAGGGTCTCTACAGCGTCCCCCTCTTCAAGTTGTTTGCTAGGACCGCCCTCAATCCGTCTCTAGTACTGCCGCTGTTGCTGCTCGCACGCTACACCAAGCGCGGAAGCGACCTGAGCATTCTACACCCGACCGCGTACGGCGGTGTCAAGAAACTCTTCTACTGGGGGCTTTTGAGAACCATTGTCAACTATCTGTCGGACAAGACTCGAAACAACTGGGTCAAGGACAGATATGATTGGTCCCGTGAGATTGTTCTTATCACGGGCGGCGCCGCTGGCATTGGCGCCCAGATGGTCAAGCTCTTTGACGAGCTGGCAATCAAGGTTGTCGTTCTAGACATTCAGCCCATGGCGTTTGCGACGTGTAAGTTTCGGCGGTCAACCTGTACCCGATTTGATCAAAACGCGACTAATACAAGGCAGCCTCGCGGGTGCATCATTACAAGTGCGACCTTCGCTCCCCAGCTAGCGTACAAGAAGTTGCCGAGAGAGTACGCAGCGAAGTCGGCGCCCCTACAATCCTCATCAACAACGCTGGCGTTGCAAGAGGCAAGACCATTCTCGAATCTGAGCCTGGCGATGTTCGCTTCACGTTCGACGTGAATGCGCTCTGCCACTACTGGCTTGCCAAGGCATTCCTTCCCAGCATGATTGAGCGCAACCACGGGATGGTAGTGACCATTGCTTCTGCGGCCTCGTGGGTTACAGCGCCAGCCTTGGTCGACTACGCTGCGTCCAAGGCCGCCGCGATGGCTTTCCACGAAGGTCTTTCCGCCGAGCTCGTCACCCGATACCACGCGCCCAAGGTTCGGACCGTCATTGTCCACCCGGGCCATGTTAAGACGCCCCTCTTCCAGGGTTTTGACCAGGGCAACGCCTTTCTGATGCCGAGTCTAGAGGTTGATACAGTGGCTGAGGGCATCGTTAAACAGGTTCTCACCGGCCGCAGCGGCAACGTCATTCTGCCCGAGACGGGTGCCATAGCAGCCCTGATGCGCGTGTTGCCGGACTGGCTGTCTTATAGGTCACGCATTGATGGAGACAAGTACATGGCCAACTGGAAGGGACGCCAAGTGATCAAGGATGTGAATGCGTCCTTTGAAAAAGAAAAGGCTAGTGACGCGGGTGAGAGCACGGTGCTCGTGTCCCGAGACTGAAAGCCGGAGCCACCGTCAGACTGAGTGAGGCTACCGGAGAGAAACTGAGACATCTGGTCGAGGGATTTTGAGCGAGGCGATCTGACTGGACTGTGTAGTTCTCCTTTCCTTGCGTTTGCGCTTCTTTTCGTTGTAGCAGTAGTAATAATACAGTCATATGTACTCATATGCCGTCCGTTTGGGAGCCCTTGGCCGCCTTGCGAGGTGCAGGTGATTTGCAGTCGGCAGCGACAGCTGGCAGGCTGCAACTGGCAGAGGTACGATTGTGCCATTGTGCCATTTCAAGTGCCGGCCGTCGTCGGCCGCCCGTTTGTCAGCTCTAACTGGCACGCTTACTTTTTCCTCCCTCCTACAACAACCGTCACCGCAATGTCAAAACCATCACGAGCTTGTACGACGACATCGATAAAAGAACAGAGGATCCGAATCATCCGGTCAGCATGCACCATGCATTTTATCTCAGTTACGAGGTAACTATGTAGTCAAGTTACGAGCCTGCACCTCAAAAAAGTCTGAGAGTGGTGCAGAGCCACAAACAGGTGCGGCGCGCGCGCAGGTGGCCCCAACCGTGGATTGGGAGCGAGGGCTAAAAAGTATGCATGAACCAGGACCAAAGGAGAATAATTACATGAAGCAACGAATGGGACCAGCCTGAAATATGATAATGCGGAGCTTGTTGGGCCCGCGCTTGCATCAAAAACGGCACACTCGACACACCCCAAAGACGGCACACACGATGTCGTGGCGAGAGCGAAATGGCGCCACTTTGACACCGACCAAAGTGTCCAGCTGGACCTCAAAATCAGACCACTTTGACATCGCAACCGGCCCCGCCCAGAGGTCTCGCAGGCGCAGCCCGCAGTTTAGACTGTCACTGACTGGACAAAGTCTCGACTTCTGCGCTTTTTTTCCGGGGCCACCGCCCGGCGCTCTGCAGAATGCCCATGCCATTCAGGCCGTCCGCAGGGTTCCTGTTACACGCTTGGCTTACTTTTCGTTGCCAAAAAGTCTTGCCCCAAGAACTCGCTGCTGCAAGCCATTCCTGTCTTGGCCCGAACCAGCCGTCTCGCCTCCACCGCGCGCCAGAAATCATGCCATCTCACGATTAAGTCGATGGCCATTTCCACTTTCCCACTATCCAGTCGTCGCTTTTTCTTGGGGGTAACGGGTCTCTGGACTGTCATCCATTTGCCTGTCCTTATCGCACTCGTTTCATCTTGCCTGCAGCTTCCTTTTTTTCTTCCATCTACATTGTGTGTGGCCTTTACCTTCTTCCACCACACCACTACGCACTTACATCGTCGTGTGACAGCGACACCGGCCGTCGTCGCTATTCCTTCTCGTTTATTCATCGCACAAAATCTATACAACTACTATCCAACACACTGAGCCTATCCTGGCGCCAAACTCGTGGGATCTAGTCGTTTTAGCGGTATAGTCACACACCACTACCTCAATCAACGGAATCTCCGAGTCAAACCAAATACCGGTTGTTGCCTGCCTGTCGCACAAATCGAAAATAGTTTCAGGCCGCAACGATCAACCCGCACCGCTCCCTTTAACTCTATCGCCTTTTTTTTTCGTGCGGTTGCACAATTTTCTGGCAACCAGTATCGACAGCGCCAACACACCACGCGCCGCTGCCTACCCTGTACGCCACCATCTCGGACACAACCGTCAGCATGGCGCCAGGTATTCTGCAAGCAGTCAGATCTCCAGGGCAGCATCCCAGCGAAGAGCAAATCCTCAGACATACACCCTCCCCAAATGGCGAAGTATCGGCCTCTCTCTCCCGCATGCAACTACCGAGAGCGTCAACACCCCAGTGCCAGGTTTGTGTCGTCGGAGCTGGCCCAGCGGGTTTGATGCTCGCATGCAACCTCGCCAGATTTGGTATCGATGTACAAGTGATCGATGACAGAGACGGGAAAACAACAGTCGGCCGGTAGCTACACTCCCTCTCACCATCTCTTGTGTTTTGTCACTTACATGTCAACAGTGCCGATGGACTACAACCAAAAACGATAGAGACATTCCGCCAGATGCGCCTAGCTGACCCTCTATTGCAACGTGGTGTCAAGGTATTTGACATTTCATTCTGGCGCAGTACCTCGACTGAACAACTCCACCGATTGGGTCGCGAAGTCCACTATCCTCCGGTAATCGACGTTCTCGACCCATGCATCCTGCTCGCTCATCAAGGGATGGTTGAGGACTTGTTCATGGACGATATGCGTTTGCGCGGCAAGGAGGTTATTCGTAATGTTTCGTTCGAATCATACGATCAGCTTCCGACCAACATCGGTCAATCGTCCCTTCAAGTTAACTATAAGGGCGCTGATAGCGACGATATTCAACCGATTCTAGCAGAATTTCTTGTTGGATGTAAGCTGTTGCCCTGCAAACTGAGTATGACTAGAGCTAACTACAGAAAAGGTGACGGCGCGCATTCCCGAGTCCGTAAGGCCATGCCAGGAGTCGAAGCCGTTGGTGTCTCACAGCCTGCCATCTGGGGTGTCCTCGATGGTGAGCTAATTACAGACTTTCCCGACATTTGGTCCAAGACTCTTGTTTATTCGGAAGAGCATGGGTCGATTTTGATCGTGCCGCGCGAACGCAACATGACCCGCCTCTACATTGAGCTCAAATCATGCCAAACGCCAACTGCTCTCGCCGATCTTGCTCGAGGCGACGACCTCGGCCAATCGTTCGTCATGGAGCAGGCCCGAAAAATAATGGCACCTTTTAATATTGACTGGAGTTGTATTGAATGGTTCGGGCGCTATCAAGTTGGGCAGCGGTTAGCAAGTCATTTCAGCGACGAGACAGCCTCTGTCTTCCTTGCAGGCGACGCCAGCCACACGCATTCGCCCAAATCGGCACAGGGCATGAATACAGCAATGCATGATTCATGGAATCTTGCATGGAAGCTCAACCTTGCGGTTCGAGGTTTTGCACGCCCAGAGCTCATGTGTAGCTACGAAGAAGAACGCCGCAAGGTTGCTCTCGACCTGGTCAACTTTGACTATGAACACGCCAACCAGATTGCCAACGGTGATGCTGTTGCGCTAGCCAAGAACTTCTTGTTTAATGTCCGCTTCATCTCGGGCATTGGTGCTGAATATGGCCCTAGCATCCTCACACAGCCATCTATCATCCATGATGAGGCATCGTTCCCTTGCCCCGAAGCGGCGCGTCCTGGAAGCATTCTCCCACCTGCCAAGGTCACTCGTTATATTGACGCCAACCCCGTAGACATCCAGCTCGACATTCCCATGATGGGCCAGTTTCGCATATATCTCTTCGCATGGGATGTTTTCCAATCTGCCACGTTTCTCGAATCATTCTGCAACTCCATTTCCTCGCGCACCTCGTTTGTAAATGCATTATCTGCGGCGGCGACGGCCTCGTACGCGCGACAACCCAGAACTACAGTCCCTGAAGATGTATATACCCGGCCAGAGCGCTATGTCAAAGCCAGCGAGCTATTCACGTTTGCTCTCATTAGTAAGTACTCCTGTGGTGGCAGTACTGGCAGAGACGTCGCTAACAGCGCTTTCCAGCGAGTATGCGCAAGTCGGAATTTGAGATTTCGGACCTGCCGCTGCTGTTGCAAGAAAACCGCTGGACTCTGTACCTGGATAATGTCCCTGAGCAAGATACCCGCGGCATGCGTTGTACCGAGAAGTGGCTCGGACGACTGGCACCGGGCGAGGTGGCCATCATCACCGTCCGACCAGACGGCTACGTCGGCTCCGTCCGGCGCTGGGATGCCGGTCTCGACGAGTCTGGCGCCAACGCGGCCAAGTGGCTCGACCAATACTACGGCGGGTTCCTCAAGCTGCCCAACGAGCCCTCGACGTAATGAGCCAAAATATCCCTTGTTATTGTATATTTCATCTCCTCATAAAGGCGTTTATATATTTCCACGAACCAAGTTGCCCGTCGCTTCTCAAGAAGCGGTTTATCTCCAAACAAGAGGCCAGCTAATGTACAACATATACGGACTGTTTGTCCATGGAACGACGCTTTGGACTGAAAGCTTTCTGCTCCAGTGATAATGGCACACAATGCACACTCGACACCGCAGTGTTAATGCAAAATAACCCCACGTTTTGCATGTGGCCCCCCATCTTCCACTGTTGGCCGTGGTCGCCATGCAGACTTACTTGCACAGCCTGATGCGTTTGTGTCTGGGGCAGGTACGATGAGCGCGACGATGACCTGACGAGTTAAAAATCTTGAAGAAATTAATTTGGGTTGGATTGCCTTTTTTCCCTTGCAACGATTTGAAATCCCAGCCCTCTGAATTTAGCTACGTCTGTTGGCCATTCCGCGACCAAAAGGCCGTGCGCTTTATATGACGAAGTGGCAATCAGCCACGACAGGGGTCCGGCTTGGCGTGTTCGGGTCAACATCACATTTCCCATCACGCAGCCCAAATCGTATCCGTAATAGGATTTGAGACCAGCCCCCAGGCATGGCGACGCCCGCCCACTTGCCGTACCCTGTCCATGCATGATGCGGGTGACGAGACAAAAACAGACATAAAAAGAAGCTTAAGTGACTCATTTGGAAGGATGGAGAGAACTATGCGGAACAAGAATAAGATAACAAGGTTCTTGACCGGTGGTTTATTGGGCCAATTCAGTGCAAAAAGACGGACATTGGCGGACAAGATTTGTTCACCAGATCTGTGGCGCATTGTCTTACCCCTGCTCCTCTACCATGGCATGGCATCTTTGGTCTCCGGGCTCTGCAGTGACTTGGTGAGTCATGTATGTCTATATTTGGCATCCAGTCTTCTCTGTCTTTGGGCATTCGCTTACGCTGGGGCGGAGCCTGTGCTCTTCTCCCTGTAGTCGGTACGCCTGCCCGAAGAGGAGATGCACCTCCGCCTCGTTTGGGTATCGTAGCTCGGGCTGCCTCGAGTTAGGAAACGACGTTGCGCGCGGGGCGTCGAGACACAAAAAGAGGCGCGCGGCCCCGCGTCCGCGAGGCCGGCCCGTCCCAGGTATGTAGGCCAGTCCTCACCCGGGGATTCTCCCGCTTATCAAACACCTACAACACAAAACGGCGCGACGGTGCGTCAGAGAGGCGGCTCGCAATGCTGGCCAGCACCACAATGTTGTCCGCATGAATCCTGTCCGCGCTGCATGTAGTGCCGGAGCGTGTGCGCCGCTTCTCTTTGAGTCAGGAGTCTACCCCCGCGCTGGGACTTTGCATTTGGGAGCTACGTGCAGCTTTTGCGATCGTTTGACCTTTGCTTTCGCGCCATTGTGTTTTACCGATTTCGCCCTCGAACTTGTGCTGGGGGGCCGTCTGGCGTGGCAAAAGATGGGAGGTGGCGCGCGGGAGGGTAGGACGAGAGCGAGGGAGAAGTTCGGTGAGCTCTGTGTAATATAGGAGGAAGAAAGTTTGCTCATGATGATGAACCAAAAGTACGATGAAGAACCGTTGAATCCATCGTCCGCTAGTTACTCTTGACGGAGATGCACTGCCCCGATAAGCGGGCTTATCTTATCTACACCGACGAAAAGCGTGGATGAGCGATAACTGAGATGTGGCGTTGTCTCACGACCCCAAGCCACAACTGAAGGGTGACTAGGAATTGACAGACGAAGTGAGATGTTTCTCAACATTGCTTCCATGAATACAAGGCTGATTTCCCTATCATCTTCACTTCTGTTATTCCTCTGCGATCTGTATTAGCTACACTACCATCTTATGTAAACAACACATAGATGTTCCACAGCCATGACTGGAAGAGCTTCCAAAGTACCTCCCGGAGAAGAGATGCAGACCACGTCCGCCGTCGAGCGGGTAGAGCGGGTGGCCTTGTCAGAGTTCCGTGTGAGTACTTTGCGCTTTTTTTTTGCTGGTCTTGACAAACACAGCTCATCATCGCTTCTCCCTCTAGCCCCCTGCAAAGAAGCCGGCTCCCGAGCTTCGCCGAGCGATCCCCTGTCTGGGATGCGCCAAATCCGCGCTCTCTGGCAAGGGCGACGGCGAGTGCTTCGACTTTGTGCCGGTAAAGAAGACGGTGCACAAGGAGAAGTGCGAGCGCTGCGCCAAGTCCAACCACAAGTGCGAGCCATGCCCGGCCGTGGCGATCCCGTTTGCCCGGCGTCTGACGATGGCGTGCCAAGATGGCACGAAAGCTGCAAGTTTCAAATACAACTCGCTTTCCAAAAAAACAAGCCCCCCTTTAGCAAGCCGGCCTGCTAACGCAAATTTGTTCTCTCTCCAGGAGGAGTCCATGTTCCGGACAGCGCTTCGCGCCGTTTTTGTCATGCTGGAGGAGGAGGAGGGCGTGTTTGAGGACGCGGCCGCTGCGGTGTCGACGGGCGAGGACTTGGTCCTCTTGCGAAAGGCTCGCGTCTTGCGCCACCTTGAAGCGGTGGTTGATGAGCTTGTACAGTAAAAGCCCGCCAGTTCTTGGTGTGTGCGTTGTGATGATTGAACGGAATGTTGCTGGGCGCTGGCTTCGCCGGCTGCAACTCGATGGAACCCCTAACATATCGCAGGGCGGAACAGTGATGATCACTAACAGTCGACTAAGACCTCAGTAGCAAGGTGCGAACCAGATGTAGTCAATGAACAATTGAGAAAAGACGTCGTGGGGTATCGCTTCGTCGTGGACTAATGTTCTTCGCTGCCCTTGCGGCAGGCCGGGAACTTGACGATGGAACTGAGATAATCAAAATGAGCTCCTTTAGATTATAGTTGAGTAAGACGTTATATTGCACTACTAAAGTTAAATGCCTTGCTAACATTTGCTAACATTTGCTAACATTTGCTAACATTTGCTAACATTGTTTTAGATGTCACCATCTCGCACAGAACTAATCACCAGAGTATCACAAGCTGGCCACAATCCCAAGCAACAGCGACCCCCGCTTTGAGCACCGAGGAAACGGCACGGGACGGATGGATCTTGTGACGATGGTGCTCAGAGCGTACTAGAGCCCAGTCGATTTGCGAATATTGGCAGGAGGAAGCGGCCCCAGAAGGATGGCTCTTGTGACGGCGATTCTTGGGACGATGAGGTGAAAGCTTGAACAACAACGTGCGTATAAGCGGCGCAGCATGGAATAGCGCGATCGGTTCCCGCCGTACGTTATCCGACTAATTCCTCAAGTCCCTGGCCTACCAACCACGATCATTCTCTCGGCAGGGCTCACACACACACACAAGTTCACCAGCTATACGAGGTTTTTTGCCGCCAACTCGGCCTGAGTGTTGCTAGCACGCATGAGACGGTGGCACACGCACTGTAGAGAAGAAGAAAAAAGAAGAAGAAACAGAAGTACACAGTAGAGCTGGTTCAATCACGCCAAGAGGTGAGCTATGCGACGTGGTGCGAGGCCGGTTGTTGCTGGTCTCGGGGCAAGAAATAGATCGTCTGGCTGCAGAGTCTACAGGTGGCAATTGAGAAGAAAGTGAGAGCTACTAATTGATCAATGTGAAACAAGTCTTGCTACGTTAAACAAAACCTACGTGAACAAAAAAAAAAGATTCAAAGAAGCCAGAATACCCTAGGATCCAAGGTGTAGGCCAGTAATGAGGATGAACTTCCTTGCCAGGCACATTCGCAAGTGTTGGTCGGCCCAACACCTGAATAATATATAGACACAATGAATATTCAATGTCGGAACTCTTCATCCCGTTGCCTACTGTTAATGTAATCGGGATATCTCATGACACAACACCCAGTAGCAAACTGACAGCGAGATGACATGCATCATTCCCGGTGACACCATAACAATCACGCAGACAGCTCTTTACGATTCATCCATAAATCATTAGTGTCTGCACATTTCTTCTTTGCTATTTCCATTGCTAAGATTTACAAACATTATAAGCTCATGGCGCAAGTCTTGATCAGATTGAGCAACCTCCTTTTCTCCCTTTTGCTTCTCCTTACTGCAGCGTAGGCATAGAGACGGTCGCCTTCTTCGCAACAGCATCGTTGCTCTGCCACAGGGCAGTGACCGTCTTGAGCTGCGTGTAAAAGTTGATACCAGGCTTGCCGTAAAAGGTGCTCGCACCACCGCCGGCAATGCTCTTCTTGTTGCCGGTAAAGGAGAACATGGGCAGGGGCACAGGAATAGGAACATTGATACCAACCTGGCCGGCTTCAATGCGGCGACGGAACGTCTCGGCGGTGGGGCCTGACTTGGTGAAGATGGCGACGCCGTTGCCGTACTCGTTCTTGTTAATGAGCTCAATGGCGTCGTCAATGGTCTCAACGTTAAGGCAGACGAGGACGGGGCCGAAAATCTCCTCCTTGTAGCACGTCATATCGGGGGTGACGTTGGAGATGATGGTGGGGCCGATAAAGTTGCCGTTGGGATACTTGGACGGGGCCTGGCCGCGGCCGTCGAGTAAGATGGTGGCGCCCTCCTTCTCGGCGGAAGCAATGAGCTTCTCGATGCGCTCCTTGCTTTGGGGCGAGATGACGGGGCCGACGTCGGTGCATTCCTCGAAGCCGCCGTCAACCTTGAGCTTTTGCGCGCTCTCGGCCACCTCAGCCAGCCACTCCTTGGTCTCGCCGACCATGACGAGGGTGCTGAGGGCCATGCAGCGCTGGCCGGCGGCGCCAAAGGCGGCACCGACGACGCTGTTGATGAAGTGGTTCTTGTTGCAGTCGGGCAGCACGGCAGCGTGGTTCTTGGCTCCGAGGTTGGCCTGCACGCGTTTGCCGTTGGCCGAGCCACGCGAGAAGATGTACTCGCCCGCCTTGTTGCCGCCGACGAAGCTAATGGCCTTGATGGCGGGCGCGTCGAGGATGAAGTCAACCGTCTTGTGCGCGCCGTGGATGACGTTGACAACGCCGTCGGGGAAGCCCGCCTTTTGGACCAGCTCAGCGAGGATCATGGCGGCGCCAGGATCACGCTCCGAGGGCTTTAGGATGAGGGTGTTGCCGGTGATGGTGGCAATAGGAATACACCAGAGAGGAATCATGGCGGGGAAGTCTAGGTGACATTAGCAAAGCTCCGACTTTAATACATTTGGGGAATGGACTTACTGAAGGGGCAGATGGCAGCCACGACGCCCAATGGCTCGCGGTAGGTTCTCGTTTCCATGTCCTTGGCGACCTCGAGCACCTCGCCCTTGAGCAGCTCGGGCGCGCCGCACGCCGCCTCGGCGACCTGCAGGCCGCGGAGGACGTCACCCTTGGCGTCGGCAAAGGTCTTGCCCTGCTCGAGGGTGATGCTGGCGGCGAGGCGGTCCCAGTTCTCGCGGATGAGGGCGACAAACTTGAACATGATTTGCTGGCGGTACAGGACCGACGTGTTGCGCCACTCGGCAAACGCCTTCTCGGCGCTGGCGACGGCGGCGCGCATCTCCTCGTCCGTCATCTGCGGGACGCGCGTGACGAGGTTATTGGTGGCCGGGTCGGGCAGGTCGATGAATTTGGACGCCTTGGACTGCACAAACTTGTTGTCGACAAAGTACGGTGTGTCCTCGACCGTCTGGATCTTGTCGTGCGTGGTCGGGTAGCTGGTGGCGGTCGAGGCCAGCCCCGCGGCGGCGGCGGCAGGACGCAGCTGCTGGGCGGTGGCGTGGAGTCGTCGAGCGGCCGAAGAGGCCTGGCCGCTCTTGGACGACATGGTGATGACGGACGAGCGGGGAGCAGCAGACGAGGCGGGTGAGCGGACGGCGGCGCTGACAGAGACGCTACGGGAGATGAGCCGACGCATCTTTGACAGTTCAACGGAGACGACGGGGTGGGTTCCCAATCGGCAACGATGAGGGCAGGTGGGTGTTGAGGTTTGCAGATGAAAGAGCCAACGTACTATTGTAAGAGCGAAACAATCGGGGGCAGGGGAGGGACGGCTTCTTATTTGGGGCGGGCTTGTCCTTGAACATGGAACCGGTGTGGTGAGAAGGCGCGGTTATGGTCGGGGTAACAGAGGAACATTGTGGGGCGCCAACCTTTGGCCCGAACCGTTTACGAATAAATTATTATTATCCGTACCCTTGCCCAGTTTGCTCCAACTAGTAGCAAAATGGGCCGCCGGCTTCCGCATCGGCCGAGGGCGCACTCTTCTCAACCTCTTACTGGTTCGTTGGCCTCTTGCGCCGTCTCACCTCCTCCTCCGTTACCGGGCTAGCCACAATGACTTCAGAGACTCTGTCCTGAGGGCGCCCTCCCCCTGTGTGATCCATGGCCAACCCGCCAGTGTGGGCTGCAGAGGGCGCACATCTAACTATGTACGGATACCCAGATCAGATTTCAAGTGGAACGTGCGGAGCAATTCTCAATGCCGCCGGTATTCCTCAGAGCCTGCGGAACTCAATTCGACCACTTGTAAAACTTGTCTTCACCTCGACCAAGCCACTTTGGCGCGCCCTCGGAAATTAATCCCGCCCAGCTTAAAATATACTATTTTCACATTGATGCTATCTTGGCAAAGCATACAAACTATAAACACATGCCCAGCACTCCCACACAGCTCTATTTCAATGGCTTAAAACATTGCGTCGTAGAAACGTACACATCGGGCTTCATCTCAAATCTCAGCTATCATCGCAAACAATTTCATTTTTGGTATTCCGCCTCGCCGTCTCCCCCAAATATTACATGCGCTTTAGTTCTGGCTGCGCGTGTTACGCTTAGTAGCTTCACCCTTGGCCTTCTCCGCTCCGGTCGTGGTAGCCTTGGAGCCCTCCTCCTTCTTGGTCTTCTCCGTCTTCTTGCCCTGGGCGGGCGCCGAGGAGCTGCTACCCAGGCCAAGGATTGCAAGCGTCACGGCAATCAGGGAGACAAGAATGGCACCAATACCGGCGGCAACCTCGGGAACGAATCGCACAGCCTCGAGAGGATCGCGCTGGGCAATGGTGAGGAACAGGTCAACCTTCTCGCGGACGTACAGGACCGGGTCGTCGAGGAACTTGAGGTCAGACGGCGACTGGGGCTCGTCAACCTTGGGCTTGTCAGCCTCGGCCAGGGCGAGCTCGGCGGCGTGCTTGGGAACAAAGGTCTCGTTGCCAAGCTTCTCAGCGTCAGCAATCGAGTGGCCAATGTAGATGTTGTTGAACAGGATGTCGCTCTGCATGGTCCAGATCTCGAATCCAATCTATCAATTGTTAGTAAATCGGGCCAGCTGGTTGGAGAATCGAGGTCCAAACTTACAGCACCCATGGGCTCAAAGTTGGCGGGGGTCTTGTCCTCAAAGAAGTCGGGGTTCTTGATCTTGCGAGGAGCCCAAGGTCCCTTGTAGTCGGGGTTGTCGACGTAGGGGGCGGTCCACTTGCCCTTGTAGTCGGGGTTCTTCTTCATGGGCTTCTTCCAGGGACCACAGCCAGAGACGTCGCCGCACTTGGGGTTGGGCACAGTAGGGGCGATGAAGTCACCGTCCTCCTCCACGTCCCAATCCTCAGGCTTCTGGGCCTCGGGGTCAGCGATGGTGAGGGGCTCCTCGTCGAGCCAGTCCTCGGGCTTGGTGGCCTCCTCATCAACAATCTCGAAGGGAGCCTCCTCGTCCCAATCCTCGGGCTTCTTGGCCTCGGGGTCGGGGATGCGAGCCTGGTCAACCCAGTCCTCGGGCTTGGTGTCCTTGGCGTCGTCAATCTCGGCCTCGGGGTTGACGGGCGGCGAAAAGTCCTCAAGGAGAGAGCCAGACTTGACATCCTCGCCGTTCTGTCGGATGGCGTAGGTGTTGTCGGGGTTGACAATCAGAGTGTAGAGCTCGGTTGTCTTGACAATCTTGGCCGAGGGGGCAGAGGTGAGGTGCTTCTCCTCGTACTCGCCCGTCTTGGGGTTCTTGTGGTTGAAGATGAAGTGCACCTTGTTCGTGTGGCCGCACTTGTCAGGGCCAAACATGATGACATAGGGAGTGGCATTGCTGAACTCTTCCTGGTGGAGAGCCTTGTTGTCGCGGAGCAGCTTCATGTAGGCACCACCACACTCGAGGCCGTCTGAAAAATATGTCAGCGTTTACCCACGCATGCGGGAAGCGTCTTTGACTTACTCTGAAGCTTGACCTCGTATTGGACGACGAGGGTCTTGCCCTTGTTGTCAATCTTCTTGGGGAACTTGGCCGAGATGGCGTGGTGAGCGGCAGGGTTCTTGACAACGAGACCTTTGTCGCCAACAGCGCCGTTGTAGACGGTGGGCTCCTCGACAGCCCACTGGCCGACGTAGGCCCATTCTTCCTCCTCCTTGTCCTTATCGGCGCTCTTCTTCATGTCCTTCTTGGCGGTAGAAGGCTTCCAGCGCTTCTCCCAATCATCGGTGAACTGCTCGAGGAAGTCGGCCTTGATGGCGGTGGGCTAGGGGATGGCAAGTGTCAGCGGCAAGGTCGTGCTTGTTGGCGAGCAGCGGGTGGCGTCTGCGCGACCGCTGCCATTGAGATGCAGACTCACAGTAAAGGTAGGGATCTCGACGGCAACAGGAGAAGGGTCGGCCTCTTCAGCGTGGGCGGCACCAGCGAGCACGGCGGCCGCAGTTGCGGCAGCGGCAGCGTTGAACTTCATGATGATGAAGGGTTGGAGAAAAGACAGGAGACACAGGAGGGATGGGGAATAAAACAGGGAGGTGACAGATGGACAAAGAGATGCCAATGACGTCCCAGCGCTCGACGGTGCAGAAATACCAAGAGTGAGGTTGAGCAGAAAAAGAGAAAAGAGGTGGACGATGAAGAAATTCTGGCGTAGATGAGGAAAGCTACCCCGACTAGGAATATTCACTAAAAGGACACGTTGATTTGAGGACCCAAAGGACCCTACTACTGCAAAGCACATGCGGGGGTTGGCTGAGCTCCAACCAGGTGGGTACGCCCACTGTACGGAGTTACGCAATAATAAGAACCAGTGACAATACATTAGCTGCCTCTGTTATGCTCCAGGCCTTCTCAGCCTTTCTAGCAGCGCCCGCTGCCCTGTTTTACCTGCGCTTCGGGTGCTTGTCCGGGGCACAATAGTGGCGGGATGGCCTGTGGAAGGTTGTCGAAACCTGCCTACTAAGGTTCCCTTCCAAGAGCTGCTTCACCATGCGACGCCACAGATTTCAAACTACACAATGCGCCGGCGATTTTATTTTTGGCTCCTACCTGTACTAACATGTTTTGTTGCTTTTGTTTTGCACTTTTGTAGTCGGATTCTGTCCTCGGATTGATGACTAGCGGCCACCTCCTCTGAATTACTCCCAAGCTCTAGGTACCAACCTAGCCGCTGGCTCACCTTGTCCGCCACAGAGCCCCTACTAAGGTACAAAGCCCCGGAGTGGAGATGGGTGGCACTCACCTCCGGCTCACTCTGGAAGCGCTCCAGGCCACGTGTACCAACCGAGTATTCCACGGATGGACAGATGTCGCGCATAAATGAAACTAACTAACAGCGTCATTCGCAGAACAATAAACACGCGAGGTGTCGCAGGCTACTCATTGACTTGTACAGTGTAGACGGCGCTTATGAGTATCCATTGTGTACTCGAAGCATGTTGCCGATGAACAATGGCCTGTCGGGAACCTCTTTGGCACTGCCATCGCCCTCTTCTCCAAAAAGCTGTCCCCGCAGCCACCATCGGCACCTCTCCACAAAACATTCCAGCACAGACAAAACTCTCGATGCAAGGCTGCCACCGGTTTACTTTTCGAGGAGATGATTGACCAGTCAATTGGACTCTGTAGTGCATCTTGAGTGTCCTCGATCAATTATGGCTCGAGTTGAATGATCCAGCGTTGCCCGTGGACGCCAGCCTCTGCTGCAGCCGCCACGTACGCCTCACTGTGGGGAGCCAGATTGCTTCGGATAGATACCACCCAATGCCAAATGACACTCGGCAGACGAACGACGGGGAATGTGGGGGATTATACCGATGGAAAGATCCGTTCGATCTCGCGCGATTGCAGAATGCCTTCATCCTCTCCTCCTAGCTGACAAAACGACAATTCGCATGCCTCAAATTGAGGTATAGGGTACGAAAACAGTCTAGGTTGCCATAGCAAACACGACCAATGAGCACAGTCAAGAGATTCAAGAGATTCTGAGCCCAGAGACGAACTCTTTTGATTAAGCCTGGCGCCACAAACTATGACACCAGATTGACTAACTACGTATGTATATTACTTACCAGTTCATATCCCGATCCGCTGCCATGGACGATCCTGATCGCATTACATCCTCGGGCCAAATAAACCAACATGACGTGTCCAAGCGTGAGACAGCGACAGTACACAAAGCTGAGCATAATTTACAGAGCAAAGAGAGCAGCGACGAAGCCGAGAAGGGTGGCCGAGACACCAGTCAGGCCAGCAGCGGCATTCTTGGTGGCAGTCGCGCTGGCACTGGCGCTGGTGCTGCTCTGCGAAGCCTCGGCGGTCTTGGAGGCGCTGGACGCGGCGGAGCTGGCGGAGCTGTGGGCGGCGCTGCTGGCACTGCTACCGGCGGCGGAGCTCGCGCTGGAGACGGCAGCACTGGAGCTGGAGGCGGTGGCCGTGACAGAGCTGCCGGCAGCGGCGCCGGCGCCGGAGCCGCCGGTGGCGCTGGGGGTGCCCGACTGGGAGTTGAAGAAGTGCTGCGAGATGCAGCCCTGGACGCAGTCGGAGTACTTTTGCGTGTCCGAGGGGCTGCCGTCGCCCTGGGGGCACTTCATGGCGCACTGGGTGGTGTCGTTGACTTGGCCCTCGTCGGGCACAGGGACCTGCGAAGAGTGAGGTCAGTATTTGGAGCCAAAACAGCCTGGCAGGGGTTCAGCATAGCGTTGTGATCGCCCCTAGACAGAGATCTGAACACACAATGGGGGAACATGAAGCACTTTTGGCCATGGGAAGCGTGGGGTTAGATACGTACACCGGCGCAGTGAGCCCTGCAGACAACGTCAGTGCCGCAGTTCTTGAGGCAAGTCTCCTGGGACGAGGCGGGAGCGGCGGCGCTGGTGGTGGCAGACTGGGCCGAGACGACGACGGCAGCGCCGAGAGCGAGAAGAGCAGTGAAGCGCATCTTGAATGTGTTGTTTTGGGGGTATTAAGAGGGGGAAAAGAGTAGTTGGTATTACGTTGGAAGAAAAGAGAAGTAGAAAGAGCAAGCAACGAGAGACTTGATATAACGAGTGTAGTTGGGGGATGGGGAGAGAGAGAGAGAGAGAAGGGGACGGGCGAGGGGGGTGGGGGAGCGCGCGACGGGCATGCATTTATTATAGTCTTTTTTTCCTTGACCCTGCTCCGTCTTCCCGTGCCGCACCCGCCCGAATGGATGGCGGCGACCTGATGGGTGTGTGTGGTCAGTGGTTGCTGGGCATCACATTCCGAGGGGGGTGACTTTGTGGTTCTGGTGTGGCAAGTGGGCAAATAACAGTACCAAGTACGAGATTTTTTGCTGTTGTCTGCCCATGCAAGCCCGGTACGGTACGACACGAGAAGCTTGGACCCATTGCAGGCACCAGCTAAACTCATACTAACCCGCAATCAAGGCGCAAATAATTGGGGGAACTGGGGATGGGTGGGTTTGGTTCCTTGTCCAAAGAGGGTGTTGAGCGCCGGCGTACGAGATGAGAAGGGGACGCAAGGACGTTGTAGCTGGTACCTCGTCCCGTTTCACAGACAGTGGCTGTGGAAGAAGCGTGGTGATGGGCATTGGTACGGACCACGGAAGTATTCCTCATTATTTGTTTATTATTTAGTTAGCGCCCAGCCAGCTCTAGCTGGAGTCAGCGCGGCGACGAAAAAGCTGGAGGAGGCATGGGGATGTGCGCAAGGCCCATCCTAGACATGGGCGCGCGCGCGCCGGCTTGTTGCCCGACCATACCTCACGCGACATCTGTACCCAAAATGTCTCTTTCTTTTTTTCCCAGCATGCCAGCAGGGTCGGTTCTTCACCAAGACAGTGTCGCAAATACCGGCATCGTTCGCGGTCTGGGATTCCTCGGGGTTGCTTTGCAGGCTGCAGTGCAGGGCGCGCGCACTTGGCAAGTCATGCAGTCACCACTCACCACCGTCAACAAAGTGTCAACGGACTGGACTGCATGTTTTTTTTTTAATAATTAAAATGAGCACTCGCGTCAACTGCCCTTTTTGTGGCGGCCGTGCCCCTGGCTAGTTGGGGTTTGAGGCAAGCTCAGCTGCCAGCCAATCCCCTGGCTCATTTGGCCGGCGTCTCTTCCCAGAATGGTCTGTAGGCACTCTCCGTCCCGTCCCAGTCATCAAGTCGCGATGGGCCGACAATTGTCCCCCCGATTCTCAGCTACAAAAACACGCTTCTTTCGCCACAACGTCTCCCTCTTGTAGTAGCACCGTGATAAAAGGAGGGAGGGGCAGTGAGCGATCGGTCGCTCCCATGCGGCCACCTCGCTCGTATTTGCTGGCAAAGCGTCCATGTTTACTTGGCGCCCGGCTTTGTGGCAGACAATGTCTGAGGGGATCGGCGGCTTTGTCTTGTCGCTGCCGTTTGTCACTTTGCCTCCCTGACCTCGTGCAGAATTCGGTGACTCACTAGTTAATTGTTGGAATCAAGGTGCGTTGAATTGGCTGCTTGCGCTGGTTCAACACTAATAGTACGGATGTACAAATACACTTTTCTCTAACGTCGAACACGGGGTGACCGCACACAACCCCCTAACAACCGCACAGCTAAGAAGGGTATAGTAGAAAAATTAGTATATATTAGTATATATTAGTATATATAAAGCTAAACTAGATCTAGAACTCTATCTCTATAGATTATAAATCCCTTACTTCTTATTTAAGATATAATTAGTTATCTTTATCTTTACTTATATTATACTTTAACTTTTATACTTTAAACCTATTATTAAATTTAGCTAATTATATATTAAAAAGCCTTAAAGGTAGGTTAAAAGCTATTATTAAAAAAGGCTTAGCCTTAATAATATTTATTACCTTAATAAATTTCTAGTTAAGGTTAATATAAACTTATTTTTATTTAATTAGCTAATATATCTTAAGGCTATTATATAAATATTTTACCTTTTTTTTTAAGTTAATTACTTTTTTTTAAAGTTATATTATATACTTTTTAAGCTTTTAAAAAAAGCTAGTTAAGGTAAGTCTTTATTTATATATATATACTATTTATTAAAAGTCTTTATATAATTTTAAAGTTCTAATAAAAATATTAATACTTTTTTAACTATTAAATAATATAATTAGCTTATTATAAAATATACTTACCAGCTACTAGCTAGCAGCTAGCAGGGCTCCGAATTACTTATTTATATAGGGTCCTACTAGCTATAAATAGAATTAAAATAATAACTTACTAGCTATATACTAGCTAGTAAAAAATAATAATAACTATAAGTATTTAAATAGAATATAGCTAAAATCACTACTTAGCCCCTACTAGGAGTTAATAGTTATAAGGAAAATATATTTATTTATTTACTAAGTCCTATTATATAGTATAGGCTAATAATAGTAAGAATTAAAGGTAACCCTAAGAGTACTATTATAATATCCTTTATAGGATACGCCTTAGACCTATATAGATAAAGTATAAGGTGTTAGGGGTAAAAGAAGATAGTAGGTAAGGATAGGAGCTAAAGACTCTTAGGAAAGAGGGGAGGTAAGGGTGTTATAGAAGCTAGGAGGCTATAGTAGTAGTTAAGCTTAACTAGCCTAGAGACTTATAAGGCTAGATATAGCTCCCTTTAATATAGATAAAAATAAAGGGAAGGGGGAGGAACTAAAAGGTTAAGAGGATAAGGGGATAATAGGCTTAACTAGTCTAGAGACATATAGGATTAGATATAGCCCCCTTAATATAAATAAAAACCTAAGGGGAAAGGAGGTAGTTAATAGGCTTAGCTAGCTAGAGTAGTATAGGCTAAATATAGGCTAGGATATAGATAAAAACCTAGTATATAGTATTAAGAGAGGTCTTATTAAACCCCTATATACTCTAGAATAAGACTATAAAGAATCTTATAAATATAGATAAGGTTTTCCTTTAGGTACTCTAGTTTTTCCTTACCTTATAATTAGTAAAGGTACTAGATAGGTTATTTAGCCTAATTAGTATATAAGAATTATTATTATTATTATTATAAAATATATATAGATTAAGTATAAATATATAGGAAAAAGGTATTAATATATTAATTAGTTAAATTTTTATTTTTTACTACCTACTTTATATATTTTTTAAAGTAAATATATTAATATATATAATTATATATATATTAATAAATAATACTTTCTAATTAGCTAGTTTTATACCTTAAGCTAAGCTTAAATAAGTAAAATAGTATTTTTACTTAAAAGGTATAAATAACCTTATATTAAATAGTTATAGAATATATAATATATAGGTAAGTAAATATAATAATATAATATTTAATTAAAAGGCTAGCTATATAAAGTAAAGCTAGTAATAGCTATTATAGTTATTTAAAATTAATAATTACTTTTATAAAGGGTTAATAGGTTATATAAATAGGTTAAAATAATTTTTAAGCTAATTAATTATAATAGAATTACTAGTTTACCTTTTTAAAGTTATTTTATAAGACTAATTAGAGTTAAAGTCTAGTTTTTCTTTAAATTAGTATTATTAGATATCTAATTAGCCTTTAAATAGAATAACTAGGTTAATTAACCCTTTAGCTATAAAGATATACTTTAAAATTATAATCTAGCTATTTAACTTAGGCTATATAACTAAGGTTAACTTCTAGCTAGCCTAACTAAAAACTAGCTTATTTAAGCCTAGTCTTTTATATAAGCCTATTTTATTTATATTCTAAATTACTAAATTAGGTATATTATTATAATCTAGGTATTATAATTAGTTAAAAAAAGTAGAGATCTTTTTAAGGGTTATATTAATAACCTAATTTAGTCTAATTAGCTAGGCCTAGGTTATTACTATTTTAAGGTAATATTAAAGAAAGTAGGTTAGCTAATATTTATTAAGAAAGTATTAATAGCCTAATTTAATATAATATTATATAGTAAGTATTTTAATTTACTTATAAAATAAAGCTAGGCTAATTTTAGCTTAATATATAATATAATTAATTAAATAAGTTTCTTAAAAAAGAAGAATTATTTATTATTTTTATATAGCTTACTTATAAAAGTCTATATTTTACTTATAACTATATAAAGTTAATTTAAAGACCTTATATATAATAAAGGCTTTAACTAATAAAGAGTTATCTTTAAATAAATAAAGGCCTTTATTAATATCTAATTTACTATAAGAAGATATTAAAAGTAAAGAAAATAATATATATATATATAAGGAAGCTATTATATATAAAGAAGTATTTTTTAAAGGAAAAGAATAAATATTCTAATTATTAATATAATATAAGCTATTTATATCTACCTAGACCTATATTTAGTATAGGATAATATTTATCTACTAGGGTGTGACCCTAACTAGTCTAGCTTGATTAGGTAATAATAAGTAGGCCCTGGCTGTGCGGTTGTTAGGGGGTTGCGTGCGGTCACCCTGTGTTCGACGTTAGCCCTGCCAGTCCCTTTTAGCCCTCGCCCACGACCAACCCACTTCCACCGATCAGAATGTACTAAGTTGCCAGATCACAAGTTATCAAAAAATATAAATATAAATATAAATCAGTCTCGATGAGAATTTTCGTCGAGGCCAAGTATAAAATGCGGCAAGCAGCCGCCAGCCATCTGCTAATAACATATCTTCGTCACCCAAAGCACAAATCCTAGATTTCGAGCCAAGTTACACCATCACGCACTTCTCGCTCCACACCAACTACGACCCCTCGCATCGACTCACCCTGCCGCGAGCCTACATCAGTCATGGACGGGGATACATTTTCCTGGGGACGCCTCCCTTGCGAGATTCAATACGAGATCGTTGGTCTTCTGCCAAGTCTTGGCGGGAGGTGCAGTCAGCTTTCAACCGTTTGCCAAGCCTGGCGATCGATCATCGAGCCACGCAACTTTGCCGAGATCAGCCTAACGGTACCGCGTCTTTCCAACCCAGACTTTCAAGCAATCATGTTGCGAAAGCAAAAACAGATTCGATATATCTGGTTTCGGGTGGAGCTAAGGGAATACGATTGCAGTCGATGTGGTGTCAACGATGACGACCTTGGGCTTATGGATGATATTGACTCCCAGTTCATCATAGATGCATTTCACAGCTTGTGTACTATACTAGGCGCGTGGGAACCTCGTGGTGACTTGGTACTCGATATCAGCATTTATTCGCCTAGTGACAGCCACCACTGGTTCAAATACCTGAGCTTCTGCCCCGACACTAACCAAGGGGCGTGCCCGTCTCTCCATGAACACGAACGTCGAACAAGCCTGGTGAATGACCCCCTTCATGGCTGGTCTGCCGGTCAGCGAGTCACTGTTACGGTTGCAACCGCCCTCGAGTCTATATTTGATGATATCAGGACTGACTGTCCCTTTGACGGGGATGACTTTGAAATGGAGTGGTGGCGGGGTCTTCCCCTCGTACCGGTCGTCGGCGTTGTGCTCCTTCGCCAACAGACTCGCCGGCGGTGGGGGCCAGTTGCGCTCTCGAATATGCTCACACGGTTCCCAAACATGACGGAACTTTGTTATGAGCCTTGGAGAGAGTGGTGCACTACAAATGAGGAAGACACTAATGAGCGCAAGTCCTTTCTTAACCCCTAGCCGAGCCGTTCGTTACTTGCCGCAAACGCAGCTGCTGACTGACTAGAAACAGAAATCCAGACACTGATTCAATCATTTTACCCGACACATTTACGCAAGCTAACGATGTTCGAAAATTTCAACGAGTATTATACAGAAGGATACCACGAACAAACTCCAGATGTTTTGATTAGTAGGGTGCTAGATCCGGCTGTAAGCCAGAAACTTGCCTACGCTAGTCTACACCTTACGATTCTATCTGCCTCCTTTATGGTCGACGCTGACTACTTTTTCGCAGCGTGTAAAGCCTCGTGGACGTGGGATAGTCTTACTTCGCTAGCGCTAACTTCGAGGGTCCTCACTAATAGCAGCGATGCGGACCCCTTGGAGATTGACAGCATGTTTAGAAACGCCGCTGCTGCAGCGTTCAATATGCCAAGGCTTGATACGATGGAGATTTGGAACGGCAGTCGCGGTGTTGCAATGCTCTTTCGGTACCAGAGGGCCCAGCATGGGCACCCAGCTACCATCACTATACGAGGGACATCAAGCCTTCATCTAAGTGCTGCAACTACTCGAGCTTGGAATACGGTCGTTCATAAGCACAGCCAAAGCAGCTTAATAGTCCAATCTTCTTCTCTGATTGATCCCGATAGGATTCAATGCCATGGTGATGCGATCCGCGAACTACAACTTTTGAATAAAGTTATTCGGCCCATCTCACTACGGCAAATCATTAGCGAACATCGGTTTCGAGCATAAGACTATCGCTACGAGCATGAGAATATCGCTACAATCATCACTATTACCGTCATCGTCATCGACAACTACAACACGCAGAGGAATCGGTGCAATAATCGAGTATTGATGAATTCTTGATCATCCTCATCTTAATTAGGTAATAGTGCTAAAGAAAATTCCCCTGCTAGCAAGGTCTTCGTTCGCTCTCCCTACGGTCTCCCCAGAATTTAGTTAGGCAAGACACGGTGGCGCTAGTCAATTCCTTTCGTATCAACATCAAAACATGACATCAAAACATGCGACGCAATTTATTTGGTCGTGACTTGTGGCGAATTAGGTAGCTCGGCACCAGGAGGATAAAATAACCCGCCGGTCAATTTAGGAACACTAACCTCTTCCTTATTCTTACTATTTTCTTACTATTTTTTAACTTCTTTCTCTTTTTAATTTTCCTTATTTTTACTATCCCTCTTATTTTACTTATCTTCCTTATCTTCCTTAGACTTACTCTAATTCCCCTTATTTCTATTCCTAGTTTAACCTTCTTAATAATAGAGTATAAATATATGTGTGGCCTTTTTTTTAATCGCCCGCATGCTCGGTTGCTATAAACCAGAACTGGTACCTACGCTACTGCATAATAGACATCACACGCATTATGCGTTGGGTCACATTGCAGCCAACTGTCTTGCAGAGTCGTAGGGTGCCGTAGTGTGACGCCCTTGTTTGCCACGAATACGATGCGTTCTACCGAGCACAGTCTGGGGGCGGCGACAAGCTGCACGGACAGGCCCATTGAGCAATCGACACGTGCATCTGCTTTATCGAGTAGTTACTCGACGAATGAACTTATCCGTAGCAGGGAGTACTGTATTATTAGAAACAAAATGTAACCCGAAAGTGCCGACTATCCGTATTCAATGCCTTGCATCATCCCATCCACCTAGGTCGGCCCTAGCGCCCTTTTCTGCCCTACCGATACCCGCACCGAGCCGGGCTCAATACTAACTTCGTTGGTCACCGCTCTACCACTGCTTCTCACCCCCTCCACACCCAATACCTCGTTCAAAGACTCGTTCAAACTCGCAGACGTCCTGCAAACCGCCCCCAGCAGCTTCCTCGCTCTCTCCTCGTTAAAGAGCTGCGTCTCCAACGACCACCGTCACTGCAAGTGCACGCCGTCCGGCTGCGCGCGATGCCCAAGTCATCATCGGCTCCTCGCCCTGGAGCCCCGTCTTCTTGGCCAGCATGCCCCGTCTCGACGCGCTGCGCGTCCCCCTCACGCTTGGGGTGGTAGGAAAGGCCGCGGCAGGCGACGCAGCACGCGTAGCTGGTCGCGGACCCGACTATCTTTTGCGAGCGGACGGGGCGGGCCTTGCCGTCTAGATACGATGCGGCTAGAGACGATGTCCTGGGAGCCGGGTCTCTTGGGACAACACTAGGGCGCACGCCGCGTTGAAGACGGTCGCTTGCGTCGTGGTGCTGCCGCGGATAGTCTGCGGGGCATGCTGATGATGCTTGTCGCGTGCAGTGTCCGCGGCGCGCCGACGTCGAGTTCGCCCTCACCAGTACCCCTAAGGGCGCATTTTCTACGACATGGCGCCAAAAGCTGCTCGTCTCTTGATGGGTGTGGATGGTGTATTGCATGTAGCGCGAGAACTGATCCACGGGTAATACACAGGCCTCCTCGCCCACTCGATCCGCGAAATCGCTCGTCGTCGTGTGCACGTTCTCTGTTTCGACCACCGCACTCTCCAAAGCAGGATGCTCCAGGACGGCTGTGTAGAATCGACCGCCACGTCCACAAAGACAGCCCTAAACATGCCGACACGCGCCGCCAGTTTGGTCGCCAGAAGCGAATATCCCCCGAGATGAAAGAAAGTTGTCCGTGACGTCCATGTCGAGCACAGCGGCAAAACTCGCTGCACAGTGTCCCTTTCCATCTCGATGCGCGGCGCCAATCAAAAGGCAAGTCTCCGATTCCTAAAGGATGGGAAGACTCATAATTCACCTCAACTGGTCCACTGTGTAGCTGTAATCTGTTGTCGTATGTCCACAACACGCTAGATAAGGCGAGGTTGTAATACTTTTGTGTTGGAACGGACGACTATCCCGACGGTCTTGTGTTCATCTGCTTGGCGGCCTAAAGAGCTCCGGCTGCGAGGTGAACCACGGGTATCTCCTCCGCCGGGCTGTTCAAAAGCCATCCAAGCCGGCTCCCGCCAACGCCTTCATCGGGGCCTATATTCTACCGTTCCCCGGCGTCATCATTAGAGCGGCGCAACCAACTACACGGCGACCTTGTCCTCGTTGCCAACGCCTCCATCAACCCGCTCACCGCCATCCTACGGTGCAAGGCGGGTCAGCTCTTCGCCAGGCCGTGCTGGACAGGTTCTTCGCCAGGCCGTGCTGGACAGGTGGCGAAGCGCCGTGGTCCAGTCGCTCCTTCGCCACGAAACAAGCGGGGGCGCCGTACGCGGCATCGGCGGCGCAGCGGGCTGGTCCCCGGCAGCGACGCGTACGTCGGGGCATTTGCGGCCGTCTCCGACGGAAGCTGGCGCAGCGCGGTTCCCGAGGCTAAGCTGTATACGCCTGGGCGGAAGGCTGGTGAGCATGGGAGCTCCATGCTGCAGGAACCGTCGAGGCGGGGCGGAAGATGGAGGAGAGTCGTGCATGTCCATGTCAATGGCTGGAATACTGGGCGAGGCCACGTTCTTGGACATGGAGCTATATGAGATGAGCGGGCATCAGGGGCTGTTAGTTGAGTCGGTTGAGGCGGGTAGGTTTTGAAAGAGGTGGAGCTGGCGAGAAGGTTATCGTGATTTTGAAAAATTCCTATTTATTATATTGGACTTAGCTGCTAGTTCAGATCGGTAATGAACGACTATAAACGTCTTAACTGGCGTTCTTGACAGCGTTCTTCATCATTCTGAGCTGTGCTGGTACCGCTCCTAACCCTCGGCTGTGTAGCTAGCCAACGACACTTACATTTCGGACTGACATAATATGAATGGATAAGCAGTTCATTATTGCGAGAGTTTTTTATTCCAAGCATTATTGCTCATGGCATGGACGCGTCACCCGCAGTCAGTAGGCGTACGTCCCGACGGATGTTGTCCTTGGGCCGGGGACCAGTCGCGAACCTATAGCGCCTGAAACCGGACATGACTTGGTCAAATCTGATAATAAGTGGCCTGCTCAACTCAGCTATAGCCAACAACTGACACGGGTTGCCAAGACTTGCTCAGCTCAGTTGTGCCGAAAAATGACACCGGTTGCCAAAAGGAAACAATTGGCTTCCGTATCTTCCGTATTGGCATGTAAACAGACAATCAAGTCAAGCGCGGTAACACGTTACAGGAGGTGAAACTCGGGAGGCCCCTACCGTGCGCCTGCCCATGATGGTGGTAGGGTGATCCCGTCGCACTGACAAAGCTGCTAGCTACCGCGCTTGGCTGCCACATAGATGGACAACTGCTCTACAGCGTTGGGATTGGGTTCTACATATCAATCGTGAAAAAGAAAGTTATATATATATATATATACACATAGCTATATATAAAATCATCTTTGTTGAGAATTGCAAATAAAATTTGAACTACTACACTGGCCATACTATGATAAAGAGCACTTTCTTCTCTGTTAACCTTACCCACTGTGGCTATACCCTGTAGTTGCAATAATAATACTTTGGGGTTTCCCACCACTTCCCTGCATCACCTCTGGCCGTTAGTCATGGGCATAAGAAATCGCCGCTACTCAGGTCTTATAGGTATAACTCGACTTACGATCCGTCGTCATGGGCATAAACCGTACCTTGTATCAGCCTTACGTCAAGAACCCGGGCCTGCTGCTAGCCTGACAGCTAACGAGCAGCAAAGCCGAGGAGACGGAGCCGTGGCCAACGTCAAATATATTACCTAGTACACGATACCTTCACGCCGCGTGACACCCTCATTTGCACTAAAATATATGACTAGCCGTAGATGACTCGTTGGATGCCACGCGAGGGCTTCCTACACGCGGCCATCCTGGTTGCTACTATACCTGCTGTACGGCAGTGCAAGAGAGTCCAAGGCCTAGTGTAGGCTATGTGGTGGCTGTGGGCTGTGTGGCCCCACACACCACTAGATAGGTAGCCAGCATAGGGTAGGGCCTAGGAATATTATCTTTATTCTATTATATACACTTATAATTTAATAATAATTATATTAAAAAATTAGTATAACTAGAAGATCTATTAAAAATTATTAAATTATTATAACCTAGTTATACTAAACTATTAAAATAAATTATTATAATCTAGTTATATTAAACTATTATATTATAAATCCCTATTATTAACCTTTATTAAAAATATAGTAAACTATATAGACTAGTTAAAATATATACTATAGAATATATATATTTTAGTATATATTACTTACTACTACTTAAAAGTAAAACTAGTATTCTTAAAGCTAGATAAGGCTAAACTAATATATTTAATTAATATAATTACTTATTAAAAGTATATAATAAACTAGACTAAGCTATTATTAGTAATTTTAAAAGTAAATATAGTAAGATTATTATAGTTATAAAGAGTTTAAGTTATTATATATTATTTTAAAAATAAAATAACTACTAAGCTAGTTAAATAGCTAGTATATAAGCCTACTTTATAAGATAACTAGAGGTTAATAATAAAAGACTAAGCTATACTATATTACTAAAAAGGATAAATAACTAACCTTTTATAGAATTAAAGTTAAGTATTTTTACTATAGTTTAAGGATTATCTAGGCTAAGGCTATACCTTTTTAATAAATATTAGTAAATAAGGTATTAGTATTTAGCTATATTTTATAGTAAACCTAGATATACTTATAAGGATTATCTTTTAAATAGTAACTAAGACTCTAGTAGTTATACCTAGGGATATAATTAATTAAGATACCTTTTTAATATATAGCTATAAGTTAATAATAAAAGGCCTATAAAAAGTAAATATTAACTTCTTTAAGCCTAAATTATAATATCTAGACTAGGATAATATAGAAACTATTATAATAAGTAATAAAGATATTCTATATATTTATATATATATATTTACTAACTAGCTACTAGTATATAGCTAGTTATATAGAGAATAGGCTATTTAAAATATTTAATATACTTATCTATATAGAATAGCTTTTTAATAGTATATAAGTATATTTATAATAAATAATAAATAATATATACTTTATATACTAATATTAAATATTTATATAGCCTTTATTAATTACTTTAAGCTATTACTTTTTAAAGTAAATAAATACTTAAAATAGGCTATCTACTTACTAGATAATACCTAGATAGGAAAAAATATAGATATATATATTTTATAAATACTATAGAATACTTAAGTAGTTAATTAGGATCCTTAAAACTAGCTTTAGTAAGTATTTAACTTACTAGACTTTAAGATTAAGGCTATTCTAGACTTACTATTAAAAAAGACTACTATCTAAGGCTTCCTTAGAAATATCTATAATTATTAAAGTATTATTTATAATCTAGCTATAAATAATAATAATAATAGTCTAGCTAATAAAGACTAGGCTTAATATAATAGCTATAGTAATAATAGCCTTTAATAGCTATAAGCTTAATTATAAGTCCTTATAAGCTATAATTAAGGTAGTTAGGACTAGAAAGGATATAGGCTATAAATAAAAGGAAACTAAGGTAATTATAGCTATTAGAATAGCTTCTAGTAAGGGAATAGATATAGTAGTAAATAATAATAGTACTAACTATTCTAATAGGAAGTCTAGCTACTTACCTTAGGTAATAAGTAGAAACTACCCTATAGTAATAATAATAACTAGGCCTTAGCTAATACTAGCTAAGGCTAAGGTTTTAACCTAAGCTATAATAGACTATACTAACCTTAGGATAACTAATCTTAGTTTAATTAGATACTATATTATACCCCTTAGGTAGCTTATTATATAGATTATTATTAAGATATAGATAAGAGGGGATATAAGGGTTATTAAGATATTTAGAATATAAAGTAAGATATATAGTAAGTATAGTAAAAGGACCCTTTTAAATATAGTAATAGAAGTTACTAGTAACTACTACTAGATTATAATAACTAGACTATAGATCTTACTATAGCTATAAATTAGGATATAGTAAAAAAGAAGGAATTACTAGTTATAAGTAACTATAAATACTAAAGCTATTAGATAAGTAACTATAGATACTAAAGCTACTAGACTAAGAAATTACCTATTTTTTATATCTATAAAGAGTATAGTTAGGAATTTAAATTAAATAATAAGCTTTATAGCTATATATATATAGCTTATAATACTAGCTTTAACTCTACCTTTAGCCTAGTTAATAATACTACTATTACTTATTATTATATATTTCCTTATAATACTAAAGAGATAATAGTAAGTATTAAGATAAGATATAATACTAAAAAGATAGTAGTAAGTATTAGGATAGGATAGAATACTAAAGAGATAGTAGTAAGTATAGGACTTATAGGCCTAAGGGTAGATATAGATCTACTTATTATTAAAGCTACTAGTATCTTAATATAGGAAATACTATTAGGATAAGTATAGATATACCTATACCTATAGCTATACCTTAACCTAAAGATCTTAAATAAGTAGTTAAATATATATATAGATATAAAAGCCTTACTAACCCTTATAGATAAGAACTAGCTAACTTAATATTATTTAGAAATAACCTTAACTAGCTACTTATACTTAGTATATATATATAGTATTAGACCTAAAGAGGCCTAAGCTAAATATTATACCTATATCTTACTATACTTTATTAATATAATACTAGATAGTTAGGTAGCTATAGTGCTTTACTTAGCCTAAGTATTTATAATACTAGACTTAAAACTAAATATACTAATTAGTATAGATATACTAGGCTTTCTTAAGAGTAATATCCTACTTAGCTAGGGTACTATAATACTTTATATATACTAAGATATATTAATCTTAATAATACTATAAATATAAGTATAATTATAAGTAAGGAATTACCTAGTTATAGTAGCCTAGACTATATAAACTACTTTAAATAAAATAGTACTTATAATTATAATATATAAAGCTAAACTAGATATTAAATATATATATAAACTATAGATACTATAGTAAACTATAACCTTTATAGTATTAGCTAAAGCTAATATTATATAAGTATTACTATAGAATAACTTAGAATACTACCTATAGCTATACTAAGGTACTAAACTTAGCTACCTATAGACCTTACCTTAGAATATAAAAGTATATTAAGTAGAATATATAGATACTTCTATAGTACTAAAGCTAGTTAGTATCTATAATAAAAAACTACTTTACTTCTAAATATAACTAAATAACCTATTTAATAGGTTAGTAAAATACCTAATAAAAGTATATATTTAAAAAGGTATAGACTAATAAATATTAATTATATAGAAACTAGTAAATAGATATATAGCCCTTTTTATAAATAAAGGCTTTACTATAATCCCTAAAGATAAGCTTATATATATTAAGCTAAAGCTAAGATAAAAGGAAGCTATAATATAGAAATATAAGATCTATTTATAAGGGTTAAAGGAAAGAAGTATTATTAAGTAAACTACTAATAAGCTTCTAAATATAGAAAAGATCTAGTAAATATAGATATAAGTCCTCTTTACCTTCCTAATCTTTATAAT